TGGACAGTTGATATGATGATAAATTAGTTAATGGGATATTACCAGAGGGACACTTTGTACAAAAGTCGATTGCTTGGGTACCTCTGTCCCATTCGTGTTTCAACCGTCAAGCAGTTGTATTCGCATGGCTGTGTTTCGGTTTGAAGGGTGGGATATGGCGTGAATTTACTGGGTACAGAGGAATAACACCTGAGTCCTCAGGAATGACAACGCATAGGGGATATTATGGGCGAAACATTGTACTCTGTTATGTCCATGGTACTGCTCATGTCTATAGGCGACGGTTACCGCTTTCCATCAGGTGGGCCGTCAGCTTGTTTGCCATTCTAAGTTGTATAAAAAAATATATATTTATAACATAAAACACAACATTACAATTCTACAATACAGGGGGGAATGGATTGTTAGTAATGCGGACTACTAGTCCCATTGCTAACAATTCCCTAATTATTTCCTGTCAGGTTGACCTCTACGTGGTCCCCTCTGGAAACCATCATGCTGAATTCTAATTCTTTAGAATATTGATATTTTTATTTATACTTGATATAATGAAGCAATAAAAAACACATATTTAAATCCACTTATACTTTTATTATATTTATTTATTACAACCATTTCCTCAGCCATTTATCTTACTTATTTCACACACACCAAAGAGAATCATGCAGCGCCCTCTGGCCTACTCTATCGTAACTACTCTTTCGTTGTCTATGCCTAATGTTGCTATTATTAAAAATAATAATTGTGAAGGCTGGAGACACAAAACAATTAAACTCAACACAGAATGAGCTAACTGACCATTTCATTATCACCTATCATCCGTTACTGGTGGCGCCAGCGTATACCATAGGCACAGGCGGGATTACCATTCCATTGTCATCCATTAAAAAAAACTATACAATACACATATTTTACAGAGTTTAATTTTCCGTAAACTTATTATCATTTGGTATGCGGAACATTAAAAATCTTGCAATGTTATGAAGTTACGTTCATATCTGACTTTAATTGCAACTCGTTGGATCTAGATAAAACCATGCTCTGTGAGTACAATTATGAGGCATAGATAATTACATAGAGTGACTAGTTAGGTATCGTCGAATGGGCCAAGGAATGACCGTGCACAAACTGTACTGTACTGCGAATCAGCGAATTTATACTTCATCTAGAACGTACCAGAGAGAGATTTTGTTCAAAAGTCGATTGCTTGGGTACCTCTGTTCCTTTCGTGTTTCTACCGTGAAGCAGTTGTGTTTGCATGGCTGTGTTTCGGTTTGAAGGGTGGGGTATGGTAGTGAATTTATACGGTACAGAGGAATAACACCTGAGTCCTCAGGAATGGTAACACAAGGGAGGTATCATGAGAGAAGGGGTATCATGGGAGAAACAGTATACTCTGTTATGTCTATGATACTGCTCATGTCTATAGGCAACGGTTACCACTTTACATCAGGTGGGCCATCAGCTTATTTGCCATTCTATATTCTATATTGCTATATATGTACATCTATCATATATATATATATATATATATATATATATATATATATATATATATATATATATATATATATATATATATATATATATATATATATATATATATATCATTTTGTGTAACACCATCGTATTTTTATACTACTAATTTATATAGAATTTTACTACATCAAATTACCATTAAACTTGTTTACTATATTAAGTACATTGATATAAAAATATCCCTATGATATATATATATATATTAATGTCGACCATCGATAACAAACGACCTAATGCTGTTAGAAACTAGACAACAACAACTAATTCACATCATAATATGATTACAGCTCAGCAATGAATCACCGGTAGCTAATAAAAACCAATCACAGACATTGTTTTATATTTGTTATTACATTGTAAAAAATAAGTAGATACCAAATTGATTTTAGGGTTCCGTAGCAAGGAAAAACAGTGTTTATTATTTTGACCTTGTAAATCTCTTTTATCCAAAACTGTTTAAGATTAAATTGTCATTAAGTATTTATTTTAAGTACTTTATTAGTACTCTAATGACAAAGTAGAGGGGGAAAGGATTGTTAGTAATGGGGAGGTAAATCCACATTGCCATCAATGTACCCTATCAGGTCGACCTCCACGCGGTTCCCCCTGGAAACCATCGTGACTAATTTGTTGTAAAATTCCTCACGATGGGCTAACTGACCTGCTTCATTTTCACGTATCATCCCTCACTGGTACCCCGCCAGCGTATACCGTTAGCGCAGGCGGGGATACCATTCCATTATCATCCATTGAAAAAAATTACAAAGTAGAAGTACCTGGCGACATCTATTTATCAACAGACAAATAGATGTCGCTACTGTACTTTGCGTGTTATTTACTGACACTAAATATGTTCGAAATTGGTAAATCTATGTTGAAAAAAGTTAAAAAAACAACATTACATGATATTTTAAAAAGCTGAACATATCTATTTATTTCTTTATTAATAAATATGTTTTTTGGCATCGTAATAAATATTCTAGTAGCAATATGGTAAGTTTTTATATAAATTGAGCTACTGTCTGTTATAAGAATGTATAACCATTTTCCATAGTAACTAATAATCAAAGATGGTGTCCCACAAAAAAACCGACTTCAATTTGTATCAAAACCAGTTATTTTGATCTATAAACTATATCACTGTACCGATTTTGATAAAATTTCTATGGGAGCAATTACCTGTATGTATATTTTTTTTATACAACTTAGAATGGCAAACAAGCTGATGGCCCACTTGATGGAAAGTGATAACTGTCGCCTATAGACATGAGCAGTACCATGGACATAACAGAGTATACTGTTTCGCCAATGATACCCCCCATGCGTTGCCATTCCTGAGGACTCAGGTGCTATTCCTCTGTACCCAGTAAATTCACGCCATATCCCACCCTTCAACCGAAACACAGCCATGCAAACACAACTGCTTCACGGTTGAAACACGAATGGGACAGAGATGCCCAAGCAATCGACTTTTGTACAAAGATATTCTTCCAAACATAAAATTTTCCATGTTGGTTTAATTTTCTGAATTATATATTATATTATAACCTCTTTTTTTTAAGTAGGTAGAAAATCTGTATAGATCCCACATGTTGTTGAAAATTTAATTCTAATATCTTACATAGCAGAAGTAAAAAAGTTGTAATTGCAATTTATATTTTTATTGTTTTCCAACAATACAAAACCCACGGTGTAGAAATCGGTCTCGCGCTTGACCGTTTTTTTTCTGACGTAAACCCATATTGTTTTTACACTGCATTTATGGAAGTTTTATTTACTCATATTAAAAATAGTAAAAACATTTCCTATACAAATAACAATTGTGGACTTTGAATCTGTTTATCAAAATAGCTGAAGAGGACTTTGTACAATCAAGCTGTCCTTCAACTGTTTTAATTATTTTAATAATTATTTTCCAGTACTCTATCCTTTTACAAAACACTCAATATGTACTCTAGACATGACATGTCCTTGCAAAGCTTCGTCTGTACCTTGAGGTGGGCATCAAACGATTCCGAGGTGGGCACACTATGATGAATATCACTGAAGAACAGATACGACATCATAACCTTCAAGATAAGAGCATATTCCTTTTTAAAAGGCCGGCAGCACACCTGCAATGCCGTTGGTGTTGTGGGTGATCATGGGCGGCGGTAGTCACTTACCATCAGGTGAGCCGCATGCTCGTTTGCCCCCTGTGTTGTTATAAAAAAATCACTTCTGTTTTAATAATAAATAGCCATGCTTTCATGGCTGTGTTTAGGGTTTTAAGTTAGAGAGTAGAATTTAATACTAAAATTACAAATGATATTATTATATCAGCCATTTACTGTCCACTGCTGGACATAGCCTCCCTCATAAGAGGGTGTTTTTCCAGTAATTCCCATGCTTGGCAGGTGGGTTGGCAATCGCAGTTTGGATTTTGGTGATGTTTTAAGAGAGACGCTGCTGCCCATCCCCCCAGCGTAAGCTCACATAATCGCCTCTTACGACATCCACGGGAAAGGAAGGGGTGGCCTATTCTATACCGGGACCTATAAGGTATCTACGGAAACATCTTAGACCTAGGAATTCTTAATGATAGGGTCTAACTACCTCATTGCGGGGGGAAAGGGATTGTTAGTAATGGAGACTGAGAATCCCATTGCTAGCAATATACCCAACTAGGTCGTCCTCCTCACGGTTCCCCCTGGAAACTATCATGGTTAATTCCTGATAAATTCATCATGATGGACTAACTGGCCTGTTTTCATTCTCATCTATCACCCTTCACTGGTACTCCGCCAGCGTATCCCGTTAGCGCAGGCGGGGTTACCATACCATTTTCACCCATAAAAAAAAACCTACCCCACTGCTTACAATATACCATATCCATTCAACCTCCACGCAGTTTCCTCTAGAAAACAACGTTAATAATTGTCAAATTCATCACAAATAGGCCTGACTGATCTGCTTAATTCCCACCTATCATCCCTCACTGGTTTTCTTATACAACTTAGCAAACAAGCTGACGACCCGCCTAATGGAAAGTGGTAATCGTCGCCTATAGACATTACCATGGGCATAACAGAGTATACTGTTTCGCCCATGATACCCCCCCCCCCCCCGCGTTGCCATTCCTAAAGACTCAGATGTTATTCTTCTGTACCCTGTAAATTCACGCCATATCACACCCTTCAAATCCAAATTCAGCCATGCAAACACAACTGCTTTACGGTTGAAACACGAATGGGACAGAGGTACCCAAGCAAACGACTTTTGTACAAGGTTTCCCTCTGGTGCCTCGTCAGTGTATACCGACAGCGTAGACAAGAACTATTTCATTTTCACTCATTAAAAAAAGTCCTTACAATGGAAAATCAATGCATGAAGACAATGGTACTCTGATATTTAATAATTTTGAAAAGCGTTTAAAAACAAAACACATACACAATATAGGTTCGAAAATGATACAAAAATAGTAGATTTAATACAATTTATTTGTGTGTTAAGCGAATATGAAATCCTTGGGGTTATCTTCGTAAACACATTTCGTCGTCCAAAACGATGCCTCGCAAATATCCTTGTACTTTTTGGCTGCAAATAAAAAACATACAGTAGGTACATAATAAAAGTGTGTAGGAAGTATTTATGTATGTATGAAATATAGTTTTTTCAAAAAACTTGTTTGTAACACTTTATTGTACTGTAAAATCTTAAATTATAACATACAATGTTCTTAAGAAAAATACTAGTACAATGGTGGACTTCTTTCAGTCAACTATTGAATGGTTGATAGAAATTGTAAACGGATGGAAACAAAAAAAGAAATAATAGCTAATTAAGATAAAAGAATAGAAAAAAAATTGGTGTTAATGTTTTTTTTTTTTTTTTTATTATATTCGCAGTCAAGGGAATCGAAATTGTCTTCTTTGGTGTTGCACTTTATTACAAAAAAAAATAAAGTTCGTATGAATCAAGACACTAATCATAGAATTATTGTATTTATAAATTTGCCAATTGTTGCCATACATGACAGGCGAGTTTATAATCGCAGTTAAACTTTAGTGATGTTTTAAATGGGACACTGCTGCCCATCCCTAGCCCTCCCTTAGTAGGGGGCAAAGGATTGTTGGTAATGGAGACTAAGAATCCCATTGCTAGCAATATACCCAACCAGGCCGATCTCCACGTGGTTCCTCCTGGAAACTATCATGGCTAATTCCTGATGAATTCATCATGGTGGGCTAACTGGCCTAATTTCATTCTCATCTATCACCCTTCACTGGTGCTCCGCCAGCGTATCCCGTTAGCGCAGGCGGGGTTACCATACCATTTATCTCCATAAAAAAGCCCTCCCTTAGTCGCTTCTTACGACACCCACGGAAATGGAAGGTGTGGCACATTCTATGCCGGGACCACATAGCTAATGGTAGATATTTGCTATACTACAATTATATCCAGTACTTACCCACATCCTTACATTTCTCAATAGATTTTTTCAGGCCCTCCTTCAATTCAGCTGGATACATTAGATCTACTTGCTTTATCGATGCCTCATAATTCAATTTGTTATTTTTTACCTAAAACCTAATAGTTTTAGTTATTTTCTTTAGATAAAAAAGAATAAAATAATATATTTAAATTTACAGGGCACAGGGGAATAACACCTGAGTCCTCAGGAATGGCAACGTATGGGGGGTATCATGAGCGAAACAGTATACTCTGTTATGTCCATGGTACTGCTCATGTCTATAGGCGACGGTTACCACTTTTCATCACGTGCTTGTTTGCCATTCTAAGTCGTATAAAAAAAAATATAAAAAAATATATATTTAGGCGGGCCTGGCCTCAGGCCTGCCCTGGAAGATAATTCTTAACTAAAGTTGGCGCATATGTACTCTTAGACATGTCTTTACCCATAATTGAAATTTCATGGGTGGGTATCAGAAAATTGTTAGGCATTTGGGGTAGGCACAGCCCACCCGGATAGGCATGGATAACATGGATACCGATTCGATAACTAGACCTCGATATCCTCTGGACATTGATGGCAGAAAAAAGGTCATCGCCCATTTCGATATCGCCCATATTGGGGCGTAGTCTATTTTTAAATATGTTTAAAGGTTGTTAACAGACTTTTAACGTATTCGTTATGAGACCAGTGTATAAATATTGTAACTAAAATATATAAGTACCTATTACTATTTTTTTTTATGGGTGAAAATGGTATGGTAACCCCGCCTGCGCTAACGGGATACGCTGGTGGAGCCCCAGTGAAGGGTGATAGATGAGTATGAAAACAGGCCAGTTAGGCCATCATGATGAATTCATCAGGAATTAACCATGATAGTTTACAAGGAGAACCGCGAGGTCGACCTGGTTGGGTATATTGCTAGCAATGGGATTCTCAGTCTCCATTACTAACAATCCCTTTCCCCCCTATTGCTATATATTGTCCACCTCTACTAGTTATAGCAACTACAATTTCCCACTATACTCACAACTTGCGTCATTTGATAAATGCAGGCCATGTAGCACATAACGTCTCTGTCTTCGATAAATATTCCTTTTTCTATATCTTTGATTAAATCTGCAATTATAATTGTTATTTAAATTTCATTTAACTGAAAAAAAAAATTGAAAAAAAAATAGAAGTAATGTAAGTAAATAAGTAAGTAAATTCATAGACATATTTTTAAAAGTAACGAAAGAGATTTATGGAGCAAGAATGAATGGAGATGTCGGTAGGGACCGACCTAGACGGACGTATGCCGACTAAATAGGCGACGTGCTTAAGAAGGGCCAAATTAAAAGAACCCGTAACCGGCGAGCGTGTGTGAAAAGATTGATGAATGTAGAAGAAGCGAAAGAGGTTTGTTTGAATCGAAGCATTTCGCGTTCCATCGTTTCTGCCTACCCTAATGGGAGACAGGCGTGACAGATATGTATGTATGTATGTATTTTTAAAAGTTATTTATATACCTGAAATATTTTAAAACTAATATAATCTACTGGTAATCTCCTTTAGAGGATACACTTTATATCCTGAGGAGATGAAATACATCACTGCATCATAAACACAAAAACATCTTTAAATTCCTATCACTGACAGGAATTAGCAGCGAACTTTGAAAAAGGGCAAGCACCAAAGATCACAGAGGTCAGAGGGTTATAAATTTTGCTGGTTGTGAAAGCCCGTCTCTGAATAATAATAATAATTGGGTGTATAAAATAAAATACAAAAACAAATTATAGTATTATATCATCATCATCATGTCAGCCTTTAACTTTTTTTTTATTCAACTTAGAATGGCAAACAAGCTGACGGCCCACCTGATGGAAAGTGGTAACAGTCGCCTATAGACATGAGCAGTACCATGGACATAACAGAGTATACTGTTTCGCCCATGATACCCCCCATGCGTTGCCATTCCTGAGGACTTAGGTGTTATTCCTCCGTACCCAGTAAATTCACGCCATATCCCGCCCTTCAAACCGAAACACAGCAATGCAAACACAACTGCTTCACAGTAGAAACCCGAATGGGACAGAGGTACCCAAGCAAACGACTTTTATACAAAGTCTCCTTCTGGTAAAATAAAAATCTGAATAAAACATATTCCATGTACTATAAGCGAGTATTTAAATATAAAAAAATAATTTTTTTTTGGATAAAAATAAATTGAGGATTTTCACCTACATACCCTCTGCAACTTGGGTTTTGCCCATACAAGATTTTCTTAATGTTTTCGCTGTATTCCTCAACTGTTGCTTGGTTAACTGTAAAACAAATAACATAATACTGTTCTAGTGACTATGATAATAATAAAATACCTAATTTATACCACACCAGCTTGAAAAGTGTCTTATACCCCTAAACGGGGGAAAATATATTTTAACCTTAATTACTTTTAACTTTTTTTCCATAATTATTTTTAATCCATAATAATTATTATAAATAAACCTGTTTAAAGCTTTTTGTCAGGTGTTCTACACGAGTAGCAATGCTCTACGAGTCCAATATAATAATGCCTTCAGGGCACTGTTGGGGCTACCCCGTCGCTGTAGTGCGTCACACATGTTTGCACGAGAGCGTACGGATATTTTTTACGCAATATGGCGCAAACGAATTGTTTCGCTGTTGGGTAGGGTACGTGTTAGCTCAAACAGTGTCCTGAAAACAATTGCTGGTAAAAAGACTGTCCCACCCTAGAATGTTGGGTTGAACAAGTTATCAATGCAAGAGCGTCATGATCGCTCATTTACTAACATAGGTTAAGTCAATTTATAACTAACAAAATGGACCTCATTTTGTCTGATTAAATAAATATTATTATTGTTTAATACCTATTAACACTATCTACCAATAGAGCTCAATTACGTTACATAGAATAAGAATAATCCTACGGCCATGTTAGTCATAATTACGCGCCAAAATGTACAATTATTGAACATACATTTTAGCGCGCAAAGAATTAATTCCAAATTCAAATGCTTGTAACAAATAGTAATAGATACATTAGCACGGTCACTTCGAATTGAAAACTATTATACGAAATCAAATCTATGCAATCACTTCATTGCCTTTGATTATAGGATATGAAAACGTTACACTATGCGATAGCTAGTTCTTCTACAATTTCTATAGATATTGATATTTGAACAGAGGTAAACATTATTGTACAATACTTTAATGTTCATTTTAATAATGCTATAGTTATAGATGGTTGCATAGATTGACTTACCAGTTTTATTCATAAGAGCAGTATCTATAGTAGTGTTACTTACACTGTGAATATAATTTAGAAATTAAAATAGTTAAATTATAGTGTTAATTTTAAACGACATTTTTGCCCAAATACAATCATATATACATGAGCCTGATGTACGTAACTAAACCGTAAGAAATAGTAACGTAAATTATATTGGGACCTTAGATTATATAAATAGAGTATCGAATCTCAAAAACGGGTAAATTTTTTGTCAGTTGATTGTCAAATTAGCTGACTCGTTTTTTAGTCAGTGTTCTATATACTTACGCACACAATGTATCTTAACGTATCTGTATTGAATTATTGAACAAATAAAATGTGCTTTTATGCATTAAAAAGATGCAAAAATTGTAAAACAAAATAAATATAGAAATTATAAGTTATAGGTATACTCATAACTATATATCACACAAAATTGTATTAAAAAAATTGACCCGCTTTTCTCGAAGGATTTGTACGGAGATACTCTATCTATATAATCTAAAATTGGGACCTTCACAAATACGTAGTTTATAATTGCGGCCAATATCGAAGCATCATTTCTTTAGAGAGCTTTAGAGAAATTACACTTATCTCTAAAATAAAAAAATTTGGTATCACAGCAAAAATCTTTATTCTAAATACAAATATAAATTAAATTTCTAATACATTTAAGTATTACTATATATTTGATTTATGAGTCTGTTTTTTTTTATACTACTTAGAATGGCAAACAAGCTGACGGCCCACCTGATGGAAAGTGGTAACCGTCGCCACTAGACATGAGCAGTGCCATGCACATAACAGAGTATACTGTTTCGCCCATGATAACCTTCATGCGTTGCCATTCCTGAGGACTCAGGTGTTATTCCTCTGTACCCAGTAAATTCACGCCATATCCACCCTTTGTTGTACAAAGTCTCCCTCTGGTGAGTCTGTAAAATACTAATTTCTCGAAAGTAACAAATTAAAATATCAAGTTAAAAATGAGATGATAATATAAAGAGATAAGTTGACAGAAATGACTACTCAGAATCGGTCCCATTATCTAGTTAACTTACTTAAAGTTAACTATTAAGTTAATTATATACATGTAAGTTATATATACAATTACAACACGTTATCGTTATGTATATTATTTTATATAAATATTTAAGAGACTGCTTAACGTAGTGATAATTTAATCTGTATTTATAACTTCTGTTTGTAGTCAATTTCAATAGAACTTAATAATAATTTGTCTTCGATCTTCTAGAAATCTTTTGCTACATGTTCCTGTCCATTATACTAACTTTTCCTCTAATTCTTTTGCCATTCAAATTATCAAGCACTGGAATGCTTTACCCTTTGACCTTATTTATTTATTTATTTCGAATTAAGCACACCAAAAGTATACATATTATACATAAATTAATTTTTTTTTGTGTAGTATGCTGATATGCATACCTATAGCAGGCGTACACAACATTTACTACAAATTACATGCATATAAAATTTAGACCTTAGATTATATAGATAAAGTATCGAACCTAAAAAATCAGATCAACTTTTTGTCAGCTAAATGTCAAATCAGCTGACTTGTTTTTTTATTAATGTTCTATGTACTTACGCACACAATGTATATTGACGTATTTATATTTATTTTTTTAATAAATAAAATGATTTTTTTCGCATTAAAAAGATACAGAATTTATCAGACAAAGTAAATATAGAAGTCATAAAGGAATCACTTATAACTATTTATCACGCAAAAGTGTATAAAAAAGTTGACCCGGTTTTCTTGAAGCATTTGTATGGAGACACTATCTATACGATCTAAGCTTTTGACTTTACACCTGCTTCAAGCAAATTAGCATTCAAGCATAAATTACATTCTTTTATCTTAATCAGTATTTCTAAATATTATAAAATAATTAATTATTTGTTTATTAAATTATATTGAAACGGACTATAAAAGCTGTTTATATTATTTGTGACTGTATTTTTTTTTTTGATAAACGGCTTTGCTTTTATTTCTAAAATTTTTAGTTACTTTAAAATATCTTATAATATAATATATATGTTGATAAGTATATACTTACAGATTCAACATCCACGAAAATTCCAAGCGTGAACCAACATAATAATTTCCAATTCATTTTTAACAAAAACTCGTTTATTTTTTTTTCCGAGTAAAACAAATACACTGCCCTCTGTTCGTCCTATCGGTTCCATATAAAGTCTTTCCTGTTTTTAATTGCATACCCAAGTGTGTATTTTAAAAGTAAAACATGGTTTATTTCACTCGTTGACACACGATTTTCATTGTAATATCTAATTTACGTCAATTGTTTACAATTACATGAGAATGTACCAACTTCTAATTGTTTCCTTGATAAGCATTTAGTAGTTTGTTTATATCTGTACCATTATTATCTTCTTGCCCTTATCCCAATTATTTGGGGTCAACGTAATATGATTTTATTCATGTAAAAGATTTATCTGTAATAATATTATAAAAAGGTAATATTCCATTTTTTGTATATATATGTGTATTGCATAAACCCAAAAACTACGCAAGCAAAAATTCTTTCGCCTGTAAAAAGTTACATTATCATTATGTATTATTAAAAAAAAAACAGTTTAATTGATGAACACTCTATTTAATTTTTATTTTATTTTTATCATTAAATAATTAAGTCATATACTCTCTATTTACTTAATAAGCTGCCCCAAGTTCGCATGGTTAACTACCTAAAAAATATTAAATATTAAAAAAAAAATACTACATTAAATACAGCACATGTTTTTCGTTCATTATATAAATTTTAAAGATGAAAATTAAACTTATTATGTCTATGTATGTATATGTACCTATTTTGTATGTAAAGAGATATTTTATGTCTATGTATATATGTATATGTATTATTGTATACAGATATGTATTTATTTTAATTTTAATTGTATGAGTTACTTATATAGTCAACATATTTCATATTTTTTAATAGAAACATCAATAATGTTTCCTCCTATTATTGTACGCATACTGCCCGCTAATAAATAATTAATGCTCCTTTCCACTCAGGGTTTGCTGGAAGAGAACTCTTACAGAGTTAAGCTCGCCTATTGTACATCTTTATTTTATATATATAATATGTCATATTTTTTTGTGTACAATAAAGAATAAATAAATAAAAAAGAACTTTGTAAATCGATTCATTCATTTTTGTTTACATTTAACCATTACAAACAAAAATATTTTTTTAATTAGTTTAGTGCCTCTAAACTTAGTGGATATCTATTATAGGAAATTAATATAGTAATAAACTAATATAAGAAAGTAATTATATATATTTATCACAATAAGTATATGTATAATTCGACAAATTCATCAAGCGAATATGAAGTTCGGTGGATCAAATTCGTACAAACATTTTGCTCCATAAAACGTAGCCTCACATAAATCACTGTAGTTGTCCTCTGAAAGAAATAAAAAAATAATTTCAATATATGAATAAATTTGAAAACTAGTGTGTGCATAATTAAAATTAAATGACTAATTAGTTATTAATTATTAAATTTAATTAGTTTACATAAATTAACTAATTTGTCATTAATTAATAGTAATAATTTATTAAAAGTAAATTAATAATTTTAAGATTATTACACTTTTAATTTTATTACACTTTAAATAAATGATTTTTAAATTTATTAAATATTTATGAATAAATAGACGTGGCAACGTTGAGTAGAATTTTATTTCGTAAAAAGAAGAAATTAGCGTATTACAATGACACTGACAAGACAGTTCGGTATAGTCTTATTTTTATTTTAGTTTTACTTGTCTTGCATTATTATGATATAATTTATAATACCCTAGTAACCTATTGTGATATCTTTTTGTATTTTATATAAAAAATAGAGATATAAAAGTAAATAATTATATTAGGTATCTATAATAGAACTAAACAACCATATTTTTAATAATAAATAACTTACGTGTATGTATGCATTTATCCACACCTTTTTTCGTGCCTTCCTTCAATTCTGGTGGATACAGAGCGTCGATTTGTTTCACCACTAGATCTCTGTCTAGTTTGTTGTTTTTAACCTGAAAATAAATCATAATAAATAAATAATGATAATAATAAATAAAGGATGAAATATCTCTAAACAAAAAAATAATAAATTGTAATCATGTTTGATTATTGATTTATTTGATTAGCTGAATGTCTTGCATTAATATTTAAAAAAACGCATTAATTATGGCCTCTTTATTTAAATATTATCTTGCTTTTGTAATTAAATTATTTATAATTGTTTTGTACACATATTATATTAATCTTTGTAATATGTATCATTCTTTGAAGAGTTTTCATTCATTCATTCAAAATCGATCAACCGCTTGCTAACTAGCTATATGCTAGGCTATGCTATGCTAAGCTATACGATGCTATGCTAGGATGATATAAACAAATATATAGAACAAGAGAAAAGATTTCTAATTTAAATTTTAATCGGTCTAATAGGCGGGAAAGGGATTGTTAGCAATGGAGTTTGACAGCCCAATATGGCCCTTATTAGGTCGACCTCCACGTGGTTCCCCCTGGAAACCATCGTGAACAATTCTTGTTGAATTCGTCACGATAGGCTAACTGACCTGCTTCATCCTCACCTATCATCCTTCACTGGTGCCCCGCCGGTGTATGGTATACCGATAGCGCGGTTGGGGATACCATTCCATTATCATCCATTTAAAAAAATCGGTCTAAACCACTATTCTCGATATTAGAGTTCAATTCATACATATGTATTAATCTGGGTGTTTTCTAAGTATCATAACAGCATAGTTATATAAGTTCAGCTTAGTTTAAAATTAAATGGAGCTGTGTAATATTGTCGTATCAGACATTAACTGTCCACTGCTAAACGTAGCCTCTCTCATTAGGAGGGTTTTGCCAGTAGTTGCCGCACTTGGCAGGTTGATAACCGCAGTTTGTCTTTTAGTAATGTTTTAAGAGGGATCCTGCTGCCTATTCCTCGTCGACAAGCTCCCTTAATCGCCTCTTACGACACCCACGGGAAAGGAAGGGGTGGTCTATGCCAAGACCTACCCAGCCATGTAATATGTCCAGTGGTATTTATCTCACTTCTTTGTGTCTATTTTTATGCCTACGAATAAATATTAATTTTAAATGAAGTCTACTGCAAAAACATCGATTTACTTTACCAATTGTAGGGTTTTGTATACGCAGGCAATATAACACATGACCAAGCGATCCTCTATAAAAACTCCCTGCTCTATGTTTTCTACTTTATCTGAAAGAAACAATATTAATTCACATAAATTGAAAAGAGTTCACAACGGAGGACGGCAATATCGCAACTATCTATTAATTTTCCAAAACAAATGTTTATACATATAATATATATATTTATAATATCATTACAATATACGTGAACTGTATGGGTAGAGCCATAGCCTTTCCGTTTGAGATAAACAGAACCAAAAAAATTATTTTTATTATTAAAAGTTTATTATTATTAAACACTTATTGTTTAAAAAGTGCACTGCAAGTGGACGGACGTTAATCATGCTGTCACTGAAAATTTAGACTATGATGTCAAGAATTTCAAAACAAAATATTAATACCAGAGGGAGACTTTGTACAAAAGTTGATTGCTTGGGTACCTCTGTCCCATTCGCGTTTCAACCGTGAAGCAGTTCTGTTTGCATGGCTGTGTTTCGGTTTGAAGGGTGGGATATGGTGTGAATTTACTGGGTACAGAGAAATAACACCTGAGTCCTCAGGAATGGCAACGCATGGGGCTATCATGGGCGAAACAGTATACTCTGTTATGTCCATGGTACTGCTCATGTCTATAGGCGATGGTTACCACTTTCCATCAGGTGGACCGTCTGCTTGTTTGCCATTCTAAGTTGTATAAAAAAAAATACACAATTTTTAACGACACATTTATATGTAACGTATTTAATATTTAATGTTTTAGTTCGTATGTAAAGTACTTTTTCAATAATCAGTCAAAAACATTGAAAAATATTAAATTGTATTTGAATATTGGCAAGAAATTACAAGATTGCCATACTTGATAAGCAAATCATTCATAACGTTTTAGTTTTTAAACTTAAGCAATTTTGAATAGTATTTTTTTATTAAACAAAATTCTATTTTACTTGAGAAGAACGATAAAAAAGCATTAATATAAATAAATGTAAATAAATCAAAACTGTTAATTAGCTTATTTACCTTCGGGTACGCCAACTTTACTAATGCATTGTTTTTTCATAATTTGAAGCGTTTTCTTGACTTGTGGTCTCGTCATCTGTGTTAAAAAAGTAAATTAAATTCTCAGTATCTACATAGAACCTTTATATCTTTATTAATTTAGGTTTTTAAATTTTAAATTCATATATTCGATTTTAATTAAAAAAAAAATATGGAATGATTTAATAGATTTTATGTAATCAAAATTTTTACAAAATATTTACTTTAAAAAAAATATTATCAAAATTAATTTTTCCCTTAATTTATACCAGGAATTTCGATCAAGTATTTGCTTTAGTTAAGAGATTAAGCAAATAAATATTCTTACTACTTCCTTACTTCCTATCTATACTTCCTTAGTTGTACTCTTAAATCAATGTAGGTTTTTTTACATCTTTAGGGTCGACATCAAAAATATTTTCTCATTATAAAGTAGGTTAAAAAAATGAATTTACTACCTAGATTTGGTATGTCTACCTTTAGTAGGTTCAGCTGTGCATTGATAAGTCAGTCATTCAGGATATTTCTCTTTACTTTATCTGTCTTTTAACACACTTAGGAGTTGAAATTTTAAAAATGCTAAAATTAACATTCCATGATTGTATTTAAAAGTACTTATGGTAAATTTCAAGTATGTATTGGTTAAAAATCCATACAAACTTCAACTTTTATATTTACACATCCTTAGGAGCCGAATTTCGAAAAATCTTTTCTTAATTCAACCGTGAAGCAGTTGTGTTTGCATAGCTGTGTTTCGGTTTGGAGGCGTATATACGATATGGCGTGAATTTACAGGGTACAGAGGAATAACATCTGAGTCCTCAGATATCCCACCCTTCAAACCGAAACACAGCCATGCAAACACAACCGCTTCACGGTATAAACACGAATAGGGCAGAGATACCCAAGCAATCGACTTTTGTACAAAGTCTCCCTCTGGTATATACACGTATTTTGATATTCTGAGTATCAGATGTTTTGTAATTTAATTTATTGCATCATTAAGTTGCAAACTCAATCAAATACTATTAAATATAAAATTATCTATAATAAACATTTATTATTATAAAATTAAAACTATTATTTATAATATAATATTAAATAAATATACTTACTCCAATACAACTTCCAACAAAACATAACACAACACATAGAAGAATAAAAAAACGCATCCTCGATCGAGAAGCCTCCCTATAATAATCTGAAATATCTCTATATCTATATATGTTTTAATACCACTTACGAATAGAAACATAAAAATGATATTGAAACACAAATATTCTCGCTCCCGAATAATTCTAAAACTAAAATACTTAAAAATCGCATAAAGCACAGTTTTAATACATATCAACAATTTTGTTAATTATTATTTAGTATTGTCAAACTACTAATTTCGAGAAGTAAATTATATATTACTAAACGTTCTTCAATACCTATTAAGTCATTTTTGTTTAAGGTCACTGTCAGTGTTGCCAGATTGGGTATTTTTCACAATGTTTGGGTAAACATTTTTATGTTCGAGAAATTATAGAAGTAAAATGAAATTAAGTTTTACTTGATAAATTTTTTTTACAACTTAGAATGGCAAACAAGCTGACGGCCCACCTGATGGAAAGTGGTAACCGTTGCCTATAGATATGAGCAGTACCATGGACATAACAGAGTATACTGTTTCGTCCATAATACCCCCCATACGTTGCCATTTCTGAGGACTCAGATGTTATTCCTCTGTACCCTGTAAATTCACACCATGACGTGAACGTTCGCCGTCACGTGAAGAAAAAAGTTTTGTATCGTTACTTTATAAAACGTAGTGAAAACGGACAAAAATTTGTAATAAAAAATTTTGAAAGTAAAGAAAATCGCAACAATCTGGTGGGAAAAAAACATTTTACAATTAACTATTGAACAAAAAGATTTGAAATTTGGGGAGAATTAATAATCCCATTAGGCAACGCTGATCGTCAAAGACCTACTCCAAAATTGCGGAACAAATAACCATGTTGTTGTCACAACAAATTACAACCAAATTGCTACTTTGAAAGTTTTTCCGCTCGTGTAAAAATAGAATATACTGCTGATTAATTATCTATAAGTACTCGTGTAAGCTTATGGTCCCTGCATAGAATAAACCACCCCTACCTTTCCTGTGGATGTCATAAGAGACGACATAAAGAACATAATAGTAGAGGAATGGTCAGCAGCGTCCCTCTTAAAACATCTCTAAAACCCCAATTGCAGTTGCCAACTCGCCTACTAAGGAGGGACTGAATTGTTAGTAATGGAGAGGTTAGCCCCCAGTTTTTTTTTTATGGGTGAAAATGGTATGGTAACCCCGCCTGCGCTAACAGGATACGCTGGCGCAGCACCAGTGAAGGGTGATAGATGAGAATGAAAACAGGCCAGTTAGCCCATCATGATGAATTCATCAGGAATTACTCATGATAGTTTACAGGGAGAACCGCGAGGAGGTCGACCTGGTTGGGTATATTGCTAGCAATGGGATTCTCAGTCTCCATTACTAACAATCCCTTTCCCTCCGCGTTACGGACATTACCCAAACCTAATTTGATCACAACCAATTTTAATTTGCCGTGTGATCCCGGCATAGAATGGGCCACCCCATCCTTTCCCGTCGGTATCATAGGAGACTACTAAAGGAACTTAATAGTCGAGAAATAGGCAACAGAGTCCCTCTTGAAACATCACCAAAGATTAACTGCTGTTGCCAATCTGCCCACCCAGGGTGGCAACTATTAGCAAATAAAAGAAGGCCTATGTTGAGCAGCGGACAGTAAACGGCTTACATAATAAATCAATTTTAAAGAAAAAATTTAAGAGAAAATTTACAAGATCATTAATTAGACTGCTGCGTCAGCAAAGATGACGGACGAAAGAAGATGGCATATAACTGGGATGCAAAGGTAAGAATGGGCATTATTATTACTAAAAGACGGGCTTTTTCAGGTAGAAAAACCTGTGACACTGCGACCTTTCTATCATCTTTTGTGCTCGCCTTTTTTTAAAGTTGGATACTAATTCCTATCAAGGAGAGGAATTTTGAGATATTCTTTGTAGCGACGTTTTTATCTCCTCAGGATATAGTGTGTATTTTCCAAAGGAGATATATCGTTTATATATGAGTGGGCTACAGCCAGAAATTAAGTGTTACGGCACCATAAAATTGATATGTGGTATGATATGGATGACTAATATTAAAAATGGGTTTATTAGAGGAAGTTTGAAAGTATATATTCTTTATTGCACTTGTAAGTTACATATAAAATAATCTATTTATACATGTTGTGAGCAAGGGTGGCCTTATCTCTGACAGAGATCTCTTCCAGTCAACCCAGCACAGTGAGAAAGCATTTCATTAGCGGGCAGCTGAAGTGCTACAACTATTAATACATAAGCAAATATACAGTTAAATAAAATATTAAAATATATAATAAAATATTACATAAATACATACACTATAAATACATATAATACCTACCTACTTATATAATAAATGTTAAAATAAATGAATATACTATCGCCGATTACAGATTAGTTAAATACTGGTAGTGAGCGTTAATCTTGTTGACAGTATATGAAGAAAAATGGATAAAGATAAGGTTCTAAGAAAAGTACAAATTATGAACTTATATCAACTATGAAGATAAAGAAAGACCTAAAAAGAGATAGATGGTCTATGTGAAAAATAATGTAACTCAAAAGGGAGTGAAAAATAAATAAAAAGTAAACACAATAGCGAATTGTATATATTTTATTATTTATATAGCACGTCAAGGAAATACAAAGTTGCTCGGGTCAAAGTCGTACATACACTTAGCGGTCCAGTATGATGCCTCACATATATCCTTGTACTTCTTTGCTGAAATAGAAGATTTATTATTATTATTTATTATACCAGCCGTCAACTGTCCACCGCTGAACATTGGCCTTTCCCATAAGGGAGGGTTTTGCCAGTAGTTGCCACTCTTAGCGGGCAGTTTGCCAACCGCAGTTAGGCTTTGGTAATGTTTTACGATTACCACAAATTAGCTTAGTCACCTCTTACGACACCCATGGGAAAGGAAGGGGTGGCCCATTCCATGCCAGGACCTACATGGCCAAAATAGAAATAAGAGATTATCAACTATTCTATCTAGGCATAGTGGGGTCAAACTAGTACTGACATAAATACCTGTTAAGGTATTTTTTTTTGTTATAGCACATGTGACCACACCGTCTTGAGCGAACACAGAGACGACATGGTCCATGAATACGACCAGCCGAAAAGAGAGTGTTCCACTCTTAACGACTGGCCACACTATGCTGGCTTACTAAGTGCTTTTTCACGCTACGATTGAAGGATTCGAGGTTATAAGATGAAGGAAACCCGTCACGAGAAAGGTCATTCCACATTATCACGGTATGGTTCACGTGAGAGTTGGCAAACTTATTTGTATATGAGCGCGGGTAGTCTAGCATATCTTTTTTTTGGGTTTGTCGTTGATATACATACATACATACATATCTGTCACGCCTGTCTCCCATTAGAGTAGGCAGAAACAATGGAACGCCAAATGCTTCGATTCAAACAAACCTCTTTCGCTTCTTCTGCATTCATCAACATTTTCACACATGTTAGCCGGTTACGGGTATTTTTAATTTGGCCCTTCTCCAGCACGTCGCCTATTTGGTCAACATACGTCCGTCTAGGGCGGTCCGTACGTCCGTCGTTAATATAGATAGATAATAATAAAAAAGTCTTTATTTTTACCACAATGACACTTCATTTTTACATTTTACAAATAAAAAAATACATAGTTTACCATTGAAAGCAGACAGAATTCGTACTAGATTACCCTGTGTTACGGTATTTTAGGTCCCACACTCGGGTAGATTATTAATACACTTATAAACTCACAAATATCCTTGCAATGTGTAGCAGAAGCCTTCACAGCATCCTTCATCTCTGCGGGAAACATCATGTCCACCTGCTTCAGAACTGCTTCGTAGTTCAGTTTATTATTTTTTATCTGAATGAATAATTAATTTCACTTATAAACAATTTAAATTATTTTTAAAAATAATATGAGAAGGAGTTTAAAAAAATTGTCTGCGTAGGTGTTTTCTTACGCTATAGTATGCAGTTTGAAGGGCAGTGAAATTATTAAATCATCATCATCAGATATCAGCCGTTAACTGTCCACTGCTCCCTTATAAGAGGGGGTTTACTAGTAGACACTACGCTTGGTAGACGGATTGGCAACCGCAGTTAGGCTTTTGCGCTGCTGCCCATCCCTCGGCTTCCCTTAGTCGCCTCTTACGACACTCACGGGAATGGATAGAAAATTATAAATAATCTGTATATATTACTTACTACTTGACTCATGGTGTACACACAAGCTATGTAACACATAACTTTTCGATCCTCTATAAATTTCCCCTGCTCTATTTCACCAATTTCCTCTGAAAATAAAAATTTCTTCATTTATATATTAATCTTTAATACTTGGAAAGTCAAAATGGCGCACTTCACACAATATGGCGCTATCTACCAGTCGACCGTAGACAGGAATAACAGAAAATATAATTGACGGTGCAACATAATGAATAATATTAAATTAAAACACTAATTAAAAAATAATAATACATACTAATATTAATCAATAATAAACTACTCAAATACAAGGGAAATACTAGCATAAGCAAAGCAAAATGTCTAAAATATAATACAATTCTATGAATTCTAAAGACAAATAACTTGGTTTATGCATTAATATATTATAGAACGTATTTATTACATCTCATTTGATATTTTTCCAGCTTATTTAACTTTGATCCAATGTGAATACATGGATAACTTATGGATAACTTACCTTCTGTAACATCGTTCTTAGGCATGCATGACTTTTTCATTAGTTTCCCGGAGTTCTTGAGTTGTTGTCGTGTCATCTAAAATTATATTATTTATATTTAAGCGTATTATAAATATATAGTAAAATCCTTACAGACACTATAAATATGAGCAAGTTTGTTACCTCATAGCGTTTTAATAGTTTCTTTTTTGTGCAGCTTAGAATGGCAAACACACTGACGGCCCACCTGATGGAAAGTGGTAACCGTCGCCTATAAACATGAACAGTACCATAGACATAACAGAGTATACTGTTTCGCCTATGATACTCCCCATGCGTTGCCATTCCTGAGGACACAGGTGTAGGTTATTCCTCTGTACCCTGTAAATTCACGCTATATCCCACCCTTCAAACCGAAACACAGCCATGCAAACACAACTGCTTCACGGTAGAAACACGAATGGGACAGAGTTACCCAAGCAATCGACTTTTGTACATAGTCTCCCTCTGGTAAATAGTAAAATCCTTACTGATGTTATAAATATCAGTGTGTTCTTTGCTACTTCATAGCGTTTTATTGGCTCGACCAATTCTCATGAAATTTGGTATACAGAAACTATAGGAGTCGAAGAAAGATATAGCTTACTATTCACCTTGGTCAATCAATCTATCCACTGCAAAAGATAGACCCCCTTCCCCCCCTAAGGCAAACACGTTTGCCACACTTGGCAGACGAGTTAGCAACTGCTCATCCCTCTATCATTAAGTTCCTTTAGTCGCCTTTTACGACACCCACAGGAAAGAAAGGGGTGGCCTTCACCATGCCGGGACTACACGGCACATATTAATTTATATACTCTCTGATAATAGAAAAAAAAAGACGAATAACGTGAAATAGATGAGAAAAAAAAATCTTTTTGTTTGTAATTATCTTTCCACTTACCCCATAACTGAAATCGAAAATAATCAATTGTATTAAAAAGGCACAGTACAAATGTAGTTTTTTCGTATGCATACTAAGTAATTCTGGAAAAAATATCACGATTCTTTATATATGGTGTCTTATTACAGTTTCTTGTGTGACATGTGAATGACAGATTACTATGCAATTACAAGAACAAATTGTAGCTGTAAATATATATTCATTTATATATCAATTTATTCAGTCTCTTAGACTATATTTTATAATGCTTTGTACTTATGTACTTAGGTTATACCTAAGTATTATTGGTAATAATCTGTCTACTAAATACAATAACTTATTTACAACCGACTTCAAAAAAAGAGGTTCTCAATTCGGCTGCATTTTTTTATGTTTGTTAACCCCTAAGTCAGTTCTATTTGAAAAATACTTTTTTTTTAAGTCGGTTAATACTCTTGATTTTCAGAGTTCCGAATTACACAGTTTTTTATTTATAAAAAACAGGAATAAACGTGTTCATTTAGGTAAACTAATAATTTACCTAGATTATCTCGATCAGGTTATACTGGTCGTGGTAAAAACTAGAATAAGTGGGTAGAAGAAACAACTTCTGACAGCCCTGCTATCAGTATATCAGTCCACTCGTGACCACCTCTAAACGACATGAAAGTATAAAATTAACTATGTCAAAATTAATTCAAATTCGGAACCGTTATCGTCTAACATAACCAAAAAAATAAATAAATCGAGATTCTCCTCCTTTTGCACGGCATTTAAAAAAAATAACTGACATAGTCCATTGAAATGAATAGTCGCGTTAGGTCCAATTAAAAAAAATACCAATTAGTCATTATGAAACCATTAATTTTACATAAGTGTGAATAGGGTGCCCATGATATAGGACGATGTGTAGAGATCGATACAAGTATATTTTTTCTTCGTAAAAAAGCGACTAGGTTATGCCTACATCTATATGTAAACAAACTCATGTACATCGAAAATTTACTAGATGTTTCTTAAACAACTTACAAGACACAGAGGCATAACATCTTATTCCTCAGGAATGACCACGTATGGGGGGTAACATGGGTGAAACAGTATGCTCTGTTGTCAATAGTACTGTTCTTGTCTATAGGCGACGGTTACCACTTTCCATAAAGTGGGCTGTCAGCTTGTTTGCCATTCTAAGTTGCATAAAAAAGGTACCTTACACTTTTTTTTATTTAGAACACGGAATCATGTGTTTACAATTTTGTATCGCAATAATATTTAATCCGCCAGGAAAAACGACTATTTCAATTCAGTCTTACAATGATGTCAAACAGATAAAATTAAGGTAATAGAATATCGCTTACTCTGTTTTTTTTTTTTAACATATTTTAGAAAATAATGTAAAACAAAAAGAATAATGTAGATACTTTTTTACAACAGCAGTATTTCCGAACCGATACGACATCATAATCTCCAAGAAAAAAGCATATTCCTTTTTAAAAGGCCGGCAGCACACCTGCAATGCCGCTGGTGTTGTGGGTGATCATGGGCAGCAGTAGTCACTTACCATCAGATGAGCCATATGCTCCTTTGCCCTCTGTGTTGTAAAAAAAAAAACAACAACAATAATTTAACACAAAAATCGTTTTGTTTCAGCAATATATTTATGAGAAAATTTATAAGAAACAAGCTAACGCTAACATAGACACAGGACTCATGGACAACATAGCATCACCCTTTACATATACATATATATATATATATATATATATTATATTATATTATATAATTATATATTATTTCTACATTTTATTAACTGTTAATAATGCAAAATATTTTGTTGGCAATATTTATTTAGGGAAAGAGGGGAAGAGGGAGACCGAGGCATGGTTACATCAGGCAGATCAAGTAAGGAGTTGGTGTCGTGTCGTATCAAGAGGTGAAGAGACTCGCTGATAATCGTAGTGAGTGGCAAGAGCTTCACTGACAAGAGCGCAGCTCTTAAATAGGAAAGATAGATTTATTTATTAAAACTGACAAATAAAAATAATCGGACTATACCTATCCTCGCACACAGCATGGTTACATTACTCCTCCATTAAACATTAACGAATACATTCGTCAATGAACAGATGGCATAAATAGCATGCGTCTAAGATCAAGGTTCCCAGAAAATGACTGTTCATTATAACAACTCGATGAATGAAAAATGATTTTAATTGCTGCGGCCAAGTTTCTTCTTCTTCTGGCTTTTTGTGAAGCTGTAAGTAATTTTTTATACGTCATGGTATAGTTAGGCTTAAGATAAGGTTCCTTCAGGATCTCTGATATTCCAGGCTTTTATAGACTAGAGAAACCGTTTACTATCAAAGTGGCTGTACGCTTGTTTGCTAATTTAGTAGTATAAAAAAGTAAACAAGCTAATAAACCAACCTGGACATTTTTTTTATGGAACGATAACCCGAGCGTTATGGATATACGGTGATGAGGCATCAGTGACTGATGATAGACGAGGAAAAAGTCAGATCAATTAGCCCATCATGATAAATTTAACAGAAGTAACAACCACAATGATTCGTGTATAATATAGTATATATCATATATGTATAAGTATATTTGTTATTCATATATATTTATTCGTTTATATATGTAATTTTAGTATGTATGTATATCAATAATTAGTAGTGCCGCATTCGAGTATTCTGACACTTCCCTATGGTTGACTGGGAGAGAATGCTTTTAGCATTAAGTCCGCCATGTACACATATTTGTACTAATGAATAAATAAATAAATAAATGATTCCGAGAAGTGTGTGAATTGAAATCGATCAGTCAGGGTATGTTGTTAGCAATAGAATTAGAACAAGAAAGAAAGAAAGAAAGAAAGAAAGAAAGAAAGAAAAAACAACTGTTAAAATTATTAGATACTAACAATCCCTTCCCGTCCACCTGATGATTTGTTTAATGGATGGAAATGAAATAGTGACCTCCTCCTATCGGTATACATTGACAAAGCATTAATGAAGGATGAAAGTGTATAATAATTAACCACGATGATTTCCAGAGGCAACCGACCTGATAAGACGTATTGCTAGCAATGGGACAGACAGATGGAACCGATATACCGGTTTGCACTATAATGCAATCAACCGTTGATATCAGAATCTCGTCCTTTCGGTTGATCACATTTGTGGCCCATATTGTCTCTGTTTACGTTCAAAATGGTGTAATCACATGCATAAAAAGTAACTTTTACATTGTCCTCCAATTTATCATTGTTTAATAATACATTTTTTTTTTATACAACTTAGAATGTCAAACAAGCTGGCGACCCAACTGATGGAAAATGGTAACCGTCGCCTATAGACATGAGCAGTATTATGGACATAACAAAGTATACTGTTTCGCCCAAGATACCCCCCATGCGTTGCCATTCCTGAGGATTCAGGTGTCAGGTGTTATTCCTCTGTACCCTGTAAATTCATGCCATATCCCACCCTTCATTCCGAAACACAGCCATGCAAACACAACTGCTTCACGGTAGTAACACGAATGGGACAGAGGTACCCAAGCAATCGACTAATAGTAAACGGTTACTGTAACCTATAGACGCCTGCAACACTAGGGGTATCACGTGCTCGTTGCCGACCCTAATGAAACCTCAATATATCCTTTTTTAAAGAACCCCATACTATAGTCTACATAGACTTAGTATATCGTTATTCTTCATAATCTAAGTACTTTAGTATTACTGTCTTTATAAACTTTAATAAGTATTTCGTCGCCAAAATTTGCAGATGACTATGAAACAAATAAAAAATACAGGAAAGATGATGAGGAAACAGTGCCAACCCAAAAACAATGTCGAAGATGGTAAGTTTCGAGAGGCTCTACAATTTTTTTTAATTTTTTATTTTTTACAACACAGGGGCAAACGAGCATGCGGCTCACCTGATGGTAAGTGACTACCGCTGTCAATGGTCACTCACAACACCAACGGCATTGCAAGTGTGCTGTCGGCCTTTTAAAAAGGAATATGCTCTTTTCTTTAAGGTTATATTGTCGTATCGGTTCGGAAATACTGCTGCTGGAAGTTGATTCCAAAGAGTGGTTGTGCGTGGAAGAAAGTGCCTTGAAGAACGCACGGTGGAGGACCGCCACTCGTCCAGATGGTTGGGATGAAATTTTAGTTTATGGCGGGTTGTACGATGGTGAAAATCAGCCGCAGATATCAATCCGAACTAAGTCCGTCTACCAAGCGTGGCAACGACTGGCAACCCCCCCCCCCCTATAGGGAAGGCCTTATACAGCATTGGACACTTAACGATTGATATAACAATAGTAGGACTATTTTTAATGAGTATTTTTTTTTTAATAAAATCGTCTTTAAATTTTTATTTTAGAAAAAATTGATCCCATAAACGACGGTGTCTTCATAGATGAAAAAGAAGTCAAATGTTATATGGCATGCATCATGAAAATGGCTAATGCTGTGAGTTGCGATTCCAATATATTCCAACTTTGATCTTTTTTATACCACTGCGGTGACAAACAAGCATACGGCCCATCAGATGGTAAACGCTTACCGTAGTCTATGAACGCCTGCAATACCAGGGGTATCACGCGGGCGGTGCCAAATCTGAAGAAACTTCTTTTGAAGAACCCCATGCTGTAGTCTCTTGGAAAAACCTCGACAGAGAGCTCATTCCATAATCTGAGTGTTCGTGGGAAAAAACATCTGTGAAACCGCGTTGTACGGGAATTATTAGTAATGAGGTCTAATTTCCCCATTACTAGCAATATACCCTATCAGGTCGACCTCCACGCAGTTCCCCTGGAAACTATCGTGATTAATTCTAGTGTAATTTGTTACAATGGACTAACGGACCTGCTTTCATCATCACCTATCACCCCTAACTGGTACCCCGCTAGTGTATACCGATAGCGCAGGCAGGGTTACCATGCCATTATTATCCGTTAAAAAAAACCGCATTGTACGCGACTATCTAGGCTCTAGGGTATGAGAATGAACTCCCTGTCGATAATATTCATGTTCAATTCATTAAATTGTGTATTTGTTGTAATGTTTTATGTATTTGTTGTTAAGCGTGTTGAGTCTCCCATCCGGGAAATAGGTATTGGCGACCCGCACGCATGCTAAAGGTAAAGGAGTTAAGGGGCCGCCTGAAAATCAGCGCTGTATAGGTGCATCTCGCTGGAGCTGTACATATATAGCAACAGCTGAGGCGGCTCCTATTACCAGCAACATTAATTGTTTTTTTTTTTTTTTGTTGTTTTTATTTTTTATTTTCTTAATACTGGTAATAAACATTATCTATCTATTTATCTATTAATGTTCAAGTGAGTTTGTTACCTTTTAGCTAGCACTTTTACCCCTTAACCAACTATGAAATTTGGTTTACACGTATTATATTAAATGGAAATGGGCATAGACTTTTTATTGGGTCTTGTCGCCAGGATCAAAACACTCGAAAGCCCTGATTAAGGGGGTTTCAGAAAATTACTTTAAGAAATTTATTCTTTTAAGTAAAAATAATGTAATCATATGATCCAATTAGGCTTATGCCCAAAAAGTGTTTGCAGATTTTGTCACAATGAGGAAGAAACGCCGCAGCACTCATTTGTGGCTGTAGCTCACTCATATATAAACGATATATCTCCTTTGGAAAATACACACTATATCCTGAGGAGATAAAAAACGTCGCTACAAAGAACATCTTAAAATTCCCCTCATTGATAGGAATTAGTAACGAACTTTAAAAAAGGTCACAGGTTTTTATACCTGAAAAAAGCTCGTCTTTCAATAATAATATTACTTAATAAATTGTACTTGTAAACACTTACTGGGTTTATGTATATAAAAGTCATGTGTTTATGAAAGATTTCTCTTCTTTTTTATACCATAAAGGTGGCAAATAAGCATACAGCTCGTCTGATTGTAAACGGTCGCTGATATAAACACGAGACACAACATAAGTAAACTAAAAAATTAAAATAACTACAGAATTGGCTACGTAAAAATGTAACAAACTTTAACATATTTTTAATACTAGCTGTACGCCGCGGCTTCGCACGCTTGAATCATTATATAAATATCGTATGTTTTGTAACCTATCCGTGTACTAAATTTCATTCAAATTTACTTAGTAGTACTTGCGTGAATATGGATGATTGTTTGTTATCTACAAACAATCATCCATACATAAATTCAGACAAATGTTCGCAACAGTAAGGATTGCTTATCACAAAAATATTTCAGATAAAAAATGGTAAATTAAACTTCGAAGCAGCTTTAAAACAAGCTGACCTGCTCCTGCCAGAAGAGATCAAACAACCGGCAAAAGACGCAATCGTTGCTTGCAGGAAAGTCCGTATGTATTCTTCTGACTACGGCTCAATCCAATCCAAAAGGATTAAACATTAGGATGGGATTTTTTTTTATACTACTTAGAAGGACAAACAAGCTGACGGGCCACCTGATGGAAAGTGGTAACCCTCGCTATAGACATGAGCAGTACCATGCACATAACAGAGTATACTGTTTCGCCCATGATACCCCTCATGCGTTGCCATTCCTGAGGACTCAAGTGTTATTCCTCTGTACCCAGTAAATTCACGCCATATCCCACCCTTCAAACCGAAACACAGCAATGCAAACATAACTGCTTCGTGGTTGAAACACGAATGGGACAGAGGTACCCAAGCAATCGACTTTTCTACAAAGTTTTTTTAAATTTTTAATTAATCTCTTTAAAAAGGCATATTTGTTCTAGACATTTTTTGATACCACGAAGGTAACAAACAAGCATACAGCCCGTCTGATGGTTAACATTCACTGTAGCCTATGGACTTTTTTATATGGAGATTTTTAAATACAATTTATTTACATTTCAAATGTTTTATTTCATACATACCATCATTATAGTAATTAAAAATAAAACAACAAAAAAAAAAGAATTAACCAAATGCACTCATTTTGAAGTGATATGCTTACATACATTCGAAAATTGGTTTTTATTTATGTAGATGTTTATAAATATTTATATATATTTTTTTTATACAACTTAGAATAGCAAACAAGCAGACGGCCCACCTGATGGAAAGTAGATGCGTAGTAACATGCACCTGTAGAGATGAGTAGTACCATGGACATAACAGAGTATACTGTTTCGCCCATGATACCCCCCATGCGTTGCCATTCCTGAAGACTCAGGTGTTATTCCTCTGTACCCTGTAAATTCACGCCATATCCCACCCTTCAAACCGAAACACAGCCATGCAAACACAACTGCTTACAATTGTTTTTTTAAATCTATGCACCGCCATTTACTCTCTCTGTTTAGTGTAACGGTTGACTTGTAGAGAATGCCATCAGGCATTAAGTCCGCCTTATAGACATATTTAAATATGTTTTAATAAATAAATGTTTTACTTCTAATCGATTTTTTTTATATTACAGCCGATGGCTACAAGGATATCTGCGATGCAGTGTTTCACGTCACCAAATGTATATACAATCAGAATCCAGCGATATTTTATTTCCCTTAGAGTTTTGATTTGAATGTACTCTAATGTTCTTGAGTACGATCTTTTTTCATTAAAAAAAAGAATTCATTTTAAACTAATCAAGTCGTTTTCATTTACAAATTATTATTTATAATACTGAAATGATAGGGCATAATGACAGAGGCATATTCAATTTTTCACCAATGGCAACGCTTGGTAAGTTCCATGGGTAATACAGTATAATTGCAGTTGCACATCAAGTATTCCATGGATTCCGATTTCTCCCCGCACAGTCTGCACACTGTGTCCGAAGATAGACCCATCTTGTGTAGTATATGCCTTATTGGCATATGTCCAGTTAGGGCACCAGAGAAGAGAAGAGTCGGTTACAGAAAAACATCTTGGCACAGCGACATCCAATAGTGAACAGGCATTGTGAATATAGTGCAGAATTATTGCAATATTGCAAGAGACAAAGAGATTCCATAAGCTGATAGCCGACATTGAAAAGCCATAGTTGAAAAGGTGCTATAAAAAATAGACTGAAATCTACTCGAAGTTACTAAAATGCGTAACAACCCATAGTTTTGTCTCGTCTTAACTACAGTAATCAATGTGTCATGCTAAGGTTACCAATTATTATGTAGGCTAAACGTTTTTTTTCTAACAATATAATTGCATATATTTGGACTTGGTTCTTTAAAAAAGGCATTTTCTCAGACATGTCTTTGCAACGTCTTTGCTCGCATCGCAGGGGTGGGCATGGTGCATCAGACCCCACCTTAAATTACGTTTGACTGAAATTGGTAACCATCACCTATAGTTAGTGGACTGTGCCAACTCCAGAGTCAGGAGCGGAATTTATAGCTTTGAGCAGACATAGCCTTTTTTTATACAACTTAGAATGGCAAACAAGCTGATGGCTCACCTGATGGAAAATGGTAACCGTCGCCCATAGACATGAACAGTACCATGGACATAACAGAGTATACTGTTTCGCCCATGATACCCCCCATGCGTTGCCATTCCTAAGGACTCGGATGTTATTCCTCTTCCTTCACGCCATATCCCACCCTTCAAACCGAAACACAGCCATGCAAATACAACTGCTTCACGGTTGAAACACGAATGGGACAGAGGTACCCAAGCAATCGACTTTTGTACAAAGTCTCCCTCTGGTATTGTATATATGGTTCAGGTATAAGACCTTCAAGTATGTATCAACGCAATCAACAGACCAACGATTCGTGACTAATGATATACCACGATGTGGGATTAGCGAAGTACCTACAACCCATGAATGACATTGTTAACTACACTAGCCACCGTAATACTAACTAGTGATGTAGGTGAGAACTGATTCAAATAATATTCGAATTTCATTCGAATCGAAAGTATTCGATTATATCAATCCGTTATTCGAATAACTAGAATATTGACTCGAAAGTAGATTGACGTATTAACAACCTACAATAAATTTAACTCTTCAATTTCCTTATGTACCTACACAATCTAATATATAAAATTCTCGTGTCGCGGTGTTTGTTACCAAACTCCTCCGAAACACCTTTACTGATTTTTATATAATTTTGTGTGCATATCGGGTAGGTCTGAAATTGGCCAACATCTATTTTTCATACCCCTCAATGATAAAGGTGACCCACCCATAATTTTTTTTTTATTTTTATACAAATTAAAACTTTCACGCTTTTACGATCAATCCCTGTTTTTTAATCGCGATTTTTATATGCCGCAATAGGGTTGAAAGATGGCAATCGAATATAATAATTGTAATACGAGAAAATTTCATGTATAGTTCTCGAAATAATGTATATGGTAAAACAACGTTTGCCGACTTAGCTAGTAATTTTATATAAAGATACTGTGATCATAATTACGTGTGAGATTTATTTCTACGTATTGCTTGTTTCTACCTGTTGCTTCTTACTCGTGTATTTTAAAAATAGCAAAATTAATAAAATATTCTATATTTAGATGGCGCATCAAGATTGTTTTTAAATTTAACCTTAAGTTTTTAATTTAACCTAACCTTAATCGAATGAATAATTCAGTTGTGGTTTCCTAATAAACACCCATCTCTAGCGGCTGACAGTACAAACATATAAATGGCTAATTTCTATCATGTTTATCCGTCATTCATGGATTTTTTTTTTAATATTACAATATTACCGGAAATGGTATATTTGATGGCGCACTAGATGTAAAGTGGTACCTAACTAATCGGTAGTGCCAATAAACATAAACAATGCTCAGATTTAATGGATTGTAACGTTCTGCGCAGGAACGAGGCGAGGCATTTTGTACACAGACAAAAAAATCCCTTAAAAACCTAAAAGAAAAACGATACTTGGTATACACTTTACAATGATTATAAAAAAACCCATACAATTTATTGTTAACGAGTTTCTACAGCCACATTGCTAACAATTATATTTCTTCAATCCAATCAGAATCGGTCCTCTTTTTTTATACTACAAAGGTGGCAAACAAGCATACAGTCTGTGTTATGGTAAATGGACACTGTAGCCTATAGACGCCTGCAACACACAGGGGTGTCACGTGCGCGTTGCCAACCCTGAGAAACTGTAATATACTTCTTAAAGAACCTAGTACTGTTGTCTCTAGGAAAAACTTCGGCAGGGAGCTCATTTCACAGCCTGAGCGTTCACAGGAGTAAATTTTTTTGAAACCGCACTGTATGCGACCATTTAGGTTCAAGCGTGTAAGGATTAATCCCCCTAGCCAAAGGCCGTTATCTTCTGTTAAAAAATAAACAATCTGAGAAATTGTTCGGATTGACATTTGCTGCTAAATCTCACCATTGTACAACCCGGCACAAATTAAAGTTCCATCCCAACCATCTGGATGAGTGGCGGTCTTCCAACGTGCGCTTTTCAAGGCACTTTCTTCCACGTATAACCACACTTTGAAATCAACTTGAAAATGATAACCGTCGCCTATAGACATGAGCAGTACCATGCCCATAACAGAATGTACTGTTTTGCCCATGATACCCCCCATGGATTTCCATTCCTGAGGACCCAGGGGTTATTCCTCTGTACCTTGTAAATTCACTGCCATACCCCACCCTGCAAACTATTTTACGATAGAAATACGAATTGGACAGAGGTACCCAAGCAAACGACACATGTACTCGTATTGTAACTGCAACACCTAATATTATTCAATTTTTTTTATTAGGTATTTTTTTTTTGTCTTAACCAATTCACAATTTCTGTCAGACATCCAAAGGTTGACTGGAAGAAATCCCATTTATGAGACAAGTCCGCCATTGTACTCATTATTTTCTTAAGAACTCCGTATCTTATAATTGAAGGCTTCACTATAAAAGTAAAGTATTACAAACAAAAAAACAAATATCGTAACCTTCAAGTAAATATTCCAGAGCATATTCCTTTTTAAGGACCGGCAGCACACCTGCAATGCCGTTGGTGTTGTGGGTGATCATGCGTGGCGATAGTCACTTACTATTAGGTGAGCAGCATGCGTTTTAAGAGATATAAAATACATTCAAATCCCCAAGACTAATTGAGAAAACTTCTTCTTCTACTTCTTTTGGGAATTACTTGAATAATTAAAGGGATTAAAGGATTAAAAAATGAAATATGTGGATATCTTTGCATTTATTCCAAATTACAACAAACTGTACAAATCGCATGTACATAATGACTTACGTATGTATAGCTTCCTGTAGTTTTATGACCAAACATAAAAATTATCTCGAGTTAAATACCTAGTGTTTAAATATAATTTTTACATACCTGCAACGTTATCGTACTGTTACCATCGGAAAATAAGGTCACAGTATTTTAATTTTTAATATAATAACACCAGTAGTTCGCATTCTTTATGTTCTATTTAAACAAAGGACTGTTTATCTGTAAAAAAAAAGTTAGTGTGTCAACAGGATAAGAGGAGGGAAACGAGAAATAATTAATTTAATTATAGAACGCTACTTCACTGACGAGTTTCCTTCATCTAACTACAAACAATTTTTTTTTTTTTTTTTTTTTTACAACACAGGGGGCAAACGAGCATGCGGCTCACCTGATGGTAAGTGACTACCGCCGCCCATGATCACCCACAACACCAGCGGCATTGCAGGTGTGCTGCCGGCCTTTTAAAAAGGAATATACTCTTTTCTTGAAGGTTATGTTGTCGTATCGGTTCGGAAATACTGCTGCTGGAAGTTGATTCCAAAGAATGGTTGTGCGTGGAAGAAAGTGCCTTGAAAAACGCACAGTGGAAGACCGCCACTCGTCCAGATGATTGGGATGTTACAGTGTATGAAGGTAACAAACAGCAGTGTAACATTTTTAGCATGTCCCGAAGAATTATATAATAAATCAGGACGCATTGCTCTATTTAGCAGTTGAACGATTAGTAAAAAGGTTCTATTACGGTATTATTTTGTTCCACTAGCGTCAACAGCTAGATCTATAGAATATTAAACTACACAAAGCTGTCTGTCTGCCCAACATGGTATTAAATCTTCTTAAGAAAAATATCTCATGGTAGTGTTTTTTTCTGTAAACTTATTAAGGTGCTGACGCACCAAATGAGCCTAGAGCTTAGAGCAAGAGCTTGTCAAACGAACAAAGATCACTTTTTTCAATACAAACACTACAAAATTTGCTAAGAGAAAGATAGATTAGGTGCTACTAGAGGGGGACTAATATATATAATACAAAAGACGTTTGCTCGGCCATCTCTGACCCATTCGTGTTTCTACCGTGAAACAGTTGTGTTTGCATGGCTGTGTTTCAGTTTTAAAGATGGGATATAGTAGTAAATTTACAGGGTTTAGAGTCATAATACCTTAGCTCTCAAGAATAGCAACGCATGGTAGGTATCATGAGCGAACCAGTATTCTATGTTATGTTCGCGGTGCTGATCATATGTATAGGTGACGGTTATTATTTTTTAACAGTTAAGCCGTCAGCTTGTTTGCCATTCTCAGTTGCATAAAAAAAGAGCGCTAAGAGCTAAAATACGCTAAGAGCTTTCTTTCATTGCCCTACACTTTTCATGAACAATAACGTACAATCTTCTAATAATGTTCACTTGCACTGTAGGAACTAAGGACATGCTCATGAAACATAGCCCGTCTGTCGGAGGAAACAGTTGACACAGTTATCATTATATTTGATTATTAACTCGACATCACAAAACATAACAGAGCGCAGTACATTACATAAGAACAACAACAAGAACATAAGAGCATTCTAACACATTAGAATTGCTTTCCTTCTGTTTTAAGCCTTGTTCATGCTATTTTATCGTTAGCCGTAAACCTATGTTTTTTTTTTCATTTTATCTCTAACGGATTTAGACCAAATGATTGAATACGCATCCTATCACTTTATAAGTCTTTTTTGTAAACTGAGATAAAGCATTGTTTCACATATTAGAGCATATTTGAGTAGGACGGGGAATTATTCTCGACGATTCTATGAAATTCTGACTAGTATGGAAACGGCATATGAGCGTGCAAGTGCAGCTACTAAAAACTGTTATGCACGTTCAGTCGTACTTATTTCTTAAAATTTTAAAACCTTAAAGCGTTTTTTTACATAAAATAAAATATATAGTCGAAAAAGTTTCTTCAAAGAGTTCTAGTGTTTTAATTGACTAGGCTGTATAAAATATTATATATCGCGTGATCTAAACATCAACGAAGCATGTTCAAAAATACTAGTTCTTGTTGTTCTCGTATTTGCTGGTTGCTATTCTTTTAGTGTAAATGATAAAAACGAATTATCATTTACACCAAAAAGAAAGTTCTGGCTTTATCTCTTCGTTTATACAGTCTAACCCCACCCTTAGACGGTTCTAGCTCTTGTTCTATAGTTCTAATCATTCTTTTTGTGCGTGTGGTGTAACTGCACCTTTATGATAATGGAATCAATTAAAATTTTTTTTCGCAATGAAACCTACAAGTTTCATATTTATTATTATTATTTGTACAATACTTTTTTATTTCTTATTATTTCTATGTAGCTCATGTAAAAAGGTAGCGAATTTTGTATGTTATTTAAATATATTTATTTATTTATATTACACTTTATTGCACCAAGTAAAAAGAGAAATAACAAATATAGAAAATATTAGAGAAGTGATACAAAAGGCCGCCTTATCGCTAAATAATCTCTTCCAGACAACCTTTGGGTAGAGGACATTGAGAAAAAGACAAAGGGTAGGTGGCGCACTATTATATAAATATTATCATATACAAACATATATACATACATACATACATACACATACATATATAATATATACATAACATACACATACTGAACAGCACACATACAACAGAAAAAAGAAAATGATGAAGGAAAACGAAGAGAGAACACAGAAAAATAATACTAAAGTGAGAGGTAATAGGATTTAACAGAGGTTTTGAAGCTAGTAAGAGTTTGAGCACACCGAATAGAGGTAGATAGTGAGTTCCATAGGCGAACTGCCTGAACAGTAAAGAATTTAGAATAAAAGGAAGAAGAATGAGTGGGAAATTTGAGTCGGAGGTTATTGACACTGCGTAAAGTATGATCATTAACCTCACTGAGAAACAAGAATCGGTCTTTTAGATAATAAGAAGCACCGGGATTAAAAAGGATTGCGTAAAGAAGAGACAGGATATGCAGATTACGACGAAAACGGATAGGGAGCCACTTGAGTTGAGTACGAAATTGAGAAATGTGATCATATTTGCGAAGACCAAATATGAAGCGGATACATAAATTTTGGAGACGCTCAATATATATATATATATATATATATATATATATATATATATATATATATATATATATATATATATATATATATATATATATACTACGCTTAATATACCTAATGATATATTTATCATAAATATATCATTAGGTATATTTATCACAAAAATTTCACATTAAACTGCAGTTGCCAACCTAGCGTAGCAAGTACTAGCAAAATACTCCTAATGGTAATCTGTCATAAGGAATACCCCCGTTCTTTATGACAGCCTATGGGGGTGACCTATGTGTGACAGTAGACAGATGGCGGCTGATATGATGATGATGACATCATTAGGTGTAGTAAATACACATAATTAGAATAAAAATGTTCCCATTCAGTACACACAAACAATTGGATTGAAATCAGCAGTTTTGCTTAATTGTGTTCCATGATTGACCATAGGTAATTATGTTTATACAAAATAGGTCCATATTATTGTTGGTATAAAAGAGATCGTTCTGGTTGATGTTTCAGTATTTTTGGCAGATTGTAAATATGTTTACAACTTTGTTATTTCTATCATGTTCGCTTCTGGCAGTTTACGTAAGTTCATACTTAGAAGAGAGTATAGTTTATTAATTTTAGATATTTATGTGTTCAAAGATATATGTATTTCATTCATATCTTTCAACTAAATTGTAGTGAAAATATTATAATTTATACATATTATGAATGAACATTTAATTATCATCTGATCATCTTTACAAGTTTTTTTTTTTTAACACCTTAGTCCTCAGGAATGATAACGTATTGAATATAGATAGGAATGAGAACGTCACAATGTATTCTGTGATGTCCACAGCGCTGTTTATGTTATTCGTAATTTGAAAAATTCCTTTTTACCTAAAATTATATACTTACAAATTGTTCCTATAGAAATCAAAATCGGTTCAGTAATTTAATTTTTACATCATAATAACTGATTTGCTACAATTAAAGTCAGTTATTTATTTAGTGTGAATAATATGAAAGAGATATTTTCGTCAGTACTGAAAAAAACATTATATATTTCTTATCATCATTCAATATGATATCAATTTTACAAAACAAAATCCGAAATTATTTAAATTGCAACAGGCGAGAACACCAGAAGAAGTTAAAACATGGTTCATGCAACAAGGCATGTTATGCAACAACGAGCATCCTATTACACCTGAACAGATGGTCATGTTGCAGCGACATAAGATTCCGGAGAGTGAAAACGTGAAATGTTTGTTGGCTTGTGTTTATAAGAAAGCTCAGTGGGTGAGTAACTAAACTTCTACGCATATGTAGCGTATACTATACTATATTTGTGTATACTATATTTGTCAACGGAGTAAAAAAAAGCAAATTCTCAATTCGATTGTATATTTTTTCGTGTTACCTCATAACTGTGTCAATTCTACACCATAAATAAAAATATACAATGACAAATGAATAATTCAAGTGAAATACAGTAACATAAATATAGATTGAAATATATACATAAATATAAAGGCAGTCTTATCGCTAGGGCAATCTCTTACAGACAACCTTTGGTTAAAGGAGAACAAATAGTAGTGGGCAGGTGGCGCGAGAGTGAATTAATAATTTTGCCCCTCATAAGTCTAACTCTACGTCCGGCTACACATCTTGGCCACGTGAGGGGTGGAACATCACAGCTGTAAGCGAAAACAGTGATGGCTAACAGAGCACTAGCAATACCTTCAATATGGAGAGACAATTCAGTGATTCACGTATAGGGCCGCTTCCCGAGGGTGATCGTCGGGGCACGTCTGGAGCTGACGCTGGACGTGACAGCATGCGAACCGTCAGTGGCTCTCTGCTGAGCAGGCGGGCGAGAGTCGGGGGTACCGAAGATATTACAGCCGACCAACGGGGCGGAGAGGGGGCAGATGATGTTTTGCAGAGTGTGTCTATGGCTACAAACTCTGTCGGCTCATCTGTTATGACCACGAATAATATAGTAAATGATGACAGAAGAAGAAAGTGGTCAACAGAAGAATTAGAAGAACTAATGTTTTGTTTCTTTAAAGCAAGATCAGGAGGACCAGGCTACATAAGCAGACTATACGAACTTTTTACGGAAAGAAATCCTAATAACCCAAAAATACACAAGTTTAATGGTAATACCCTATCGAATCAAGCACGTAGAATTATAAAACAAAATGTAATATCACAAGAAGTACTGAATCGAATAGAACAACAAGCAGTACAAGGATCTGATTTCATAGAAAACTCTGAACCAATAGAACCTAACATACAACAACATGCGATAACAGTCTCAATAGCAAACACCACAAATATACAAAACACAATATTACAAAATATACAAAACATGCAACACACTGAACTCACAGTAGAACAAGCAAATGCAATAGATCAATTGACGCAAAATGTAAATATAAATGAAGATCAGGATCCACTAATTTTAAATTTTCTTCAAATACTGGCTGAAACGCGAGAAACTCCGATTGAAGAACGCTTACTACTGCCTAAAGCTAAAATAAATAAGAGATTCCTAGGAAACCTGCATACACTGAATAAATACTTGCCAAGTCTATTAGTGACTAATAACTCTTTAAAAGAAATAAACGACATTATTTATGCAACTGCAAAAACATTAATAATTAATAATAACCAGAATCCATATACATCAAAAATTACTATAAAAAAGAAATCGGAACCACCGTGGAAAAAAAGGATACAAATAAAAATCGATAGACTCAGAAAAGAACTAGGGCAGTTAATAGAAATAGAAAAAGGAATTAATACGCGTAGGATGATAAAAATTAAAGACATGTTATACAGGAAATACAACATATATAATAAAAACGATCATAATAATATGATAGAAACAATTAAACAAAAAATTAAAGCTTTAGCAGGCAGAATAAAGAGATATGAAGACATGAATACTAGAAAAGAACAGAATAAATTATTTAAAGAGCATGAACACAGATTATATACAAGTTTAGGAAGCAATAATACTAAAGAAGTCAATGTACCTAATAAAGAAAGAGTAGAAGAATTTTGGTCGTGCATATTGTCAAATCCTATAACCTACAATAATCAGGCTAAATGGATAAAGGAATTAGAAGAGTCATCAAAAAATCTAGAAGCAAGAGATACAGGTGAAATTACTGAACATCAAGTAAAATTTAGCATAAATAAACTACTGAACTGGAAATCGCCAGGTATAGATAAAATTCAAAATTATTATTTAAAACACCTTACCAGTGTGCATAGTTATTTAGCCACATTATTCACTAAAATAATAGCTGGTACAGAAGCGTTAGAGGATTGGTTCACTACAGGTCAAGTTATATTAATACCCAAAAATGAGCATACTGATGATCCAAAAAATTGGAGGCCCATAGCATGTTTAACAACAATGTACAAATTACTAACGAGCGTATTAGCCAATATACTATATGATCACTGTCACGAGAATAACATAATGGCGTTAGAGCAACGGGGGTGTCGCAGGTATGCCAGGGGCTGTAAAGACCACCTCATGGTCAATAAAGCAATATTAGAGGATGCACACCAATCTCAAAAGAACTTGAGCATGGCATGGATAGATTATCAAAAAGCCTTTGATAGTGTATCACATGAATGGCTTCTCAAAGTACTAGATATTTATAAATGCCCGCCTATCATCAAAAGATTCCTTCAGTTGACTATGCCTTCTTGGAGAGTGATCATGACAGCTCGTGGCTCCCAAAACTCAATAACAACCGAACCGATCTATGTAAGACGCGGAATATTTCAGGGTGACTCTCTCTCACCACTTCTGTTTTGTCTAGCAATAAATCCCCTCTCATTCATACTAAACAAATATAAAATTAAAGGATATAAACTTAAAGACAGTTATTGGATCAATCATTTGATATATATGGATGACCTTAAAGTTTATGCAAACAATAGGACTAATTTAAAGGTGTTATTAGATAGCGTAGAAATATTTACAAGTGACATAGGAATGAGATTTGGTTTAGATAAATGCAATGTAATACATATTAGTTCAGGATATAGAAGCAACGCTATGGGAGAAGGTCATATACTATTAAGCGGAGAAATGTTTAAGCACCTAGCCATAGGAGATAGGTACAAATATTTGGGAGTGCATGAGTCAGGAAAAATTGAACATAGTATAATTAGAGATCAAATAACTAAAGAGTATTTTAAAAGAATAAAAAAACTACTGAATACAAGTCTCAACTCGCGTAATCTAATTAAGGGAATAAATACATATGCTTTACCGGTTTTACTCTACTCATTTGGTGTAATAAACTACAAAAATAATGATTTAAAGAAAATAGATGTTAAAACAAGAAAACTGTTAGCTATAAAAAAAGCACATCAACAGAAAGCAGCAACAGAACGATTATACTTACCAGTGACACAGGGGTAGAGGTATGTTAAATGTAGAATATGTATACAAAACCCAAATAGTCAAATATAAACAGTATCTAAAAACAGAAAGTGATTATTTAATCAAAACAATAGTTCAACACGACATATGCAAGTACAAGTATTCAATAATAAAGGAAGCACAAGAGATAGAACTAGAACTGCATTTACTACAAGGAAACACACATACTGATAAAGAGATAAAAGAAGCAATAGTAAAAAATTATAATAAAACATGGAGACATAAACAACTACATGGTCAGTTCCCTAAAGACGTACTAGATAGGGCCAACGTAGACGGTGAACTTTCATTTAACTGGATTAAAAAACAGCAAATATGCCCAAGTATAGAGTCGTCAATATTTGCCATACAAGACCAAGTCGTAATGACACACAACATCAACGTGACATACTAAAACAACCAGTAGACGGAAAGTGTCGCTTATGTGTTCATAAAGATGAAACAACACAACACATCATATCGGGGTGCGAGAAATTGGCGGGGACCTATTATGTCAAAAGACACAATAACCTTGTTCAGTATATCTACTGGTGTCTGGCAAAAAAACACAATATACAGGTCTCTGATCTCTGGTGGAAAGAAACTCTCACCCAACCCCATGTTAAAGAAAACGAATCTGTTAAGATCCTGTGGGAAATGCCCGTTCAAACTGATGTCACCGTTACACACAATAGACCAGATTTAATATATATAGATAAAAATAATAATAAAACATACTTAATAGATATAACTGTACCATCTGATTACAATATAGGAGCTAAGGAAATTGAAAAGCTAAGTAAATACCACCTTCTCAAAACTGAAGTCAGTCGTTTGTGGAACACACAAACGATTATCATCCCGATAGTAATAGGCGCAACAGGAATAGTAGCTAAAAATATTATAAACTACATAAATAAGCTAAATGCCAAAATTGACATCACAATCTTACAAAAACAAGCAGCCATTCACACATCAAGCATACTCAGCAAAGTATTGGGAGATACCGTATTTGTACAAAACACACAAAATCATCACACTCAAGACACACACCGGTCACCAACCATCCAACAGGCAACTAACACACAACACTCAACAAACACACCAGATTCATACAACACAATTCATACACCAAACACACAATCACTCACAAATTCAGTATACATTCTAAAGAGAAGGCGAGGTAGAAGACGGACATAAAAAAATAAAACTGGGGCATACGTACCTTTTTTCCTGTGGGTTACAGGACGGGGTATGTTTTTAAGCCGACATAAGTTGAGAAGGTGAAAACCAATTATATTATATATATATATATATATATATATATATATATATATATATATATATATATATATATATATATATATATATATATACATAAACATACATATATAAATTTCTTTTTTATCTGAAAGAATATGCTGACAGATTGGTATCATGGAAGATATATCAAAATGGGTTTACTTTTTAAATCAAAATAATTGGTTTTGTCACGCTTGAAGTCGGTTTTTTTAGACACAATTTTTAATTATATCATCACTTTACTAAAATTACTTTTGTATATATGAGCTGGCAAAACCAACCTTATGGGAGAAGCCTTTGTTCAGCAGTGGACAAGCTATGGCTGATATAGTATTATAGGTGTTTTGCACCACGTATTGTAAAAAGTCACTGAAGGTGCCAAGTAACTTCCCAAGAGAAATTATCCCAGTTTCTCATGTAGACACAGTCCTGCTGTCCAACCAAAAGTACTAATGTCGAATTTCCGCGGCCCATTACCAATGTATGACTCCTGATGCTCCCTTTTGATCTTAGTAATCTAGACAATTTTGTCTCGTCTTACGTCGTATCACGGGTCACGTCTAACTTCGCGCCACGTCTCACTCGAGGCTCGTCTCGAACCTAATCTCCACGGAATAATATCTCGCCTCACCCTCGCATTCCGTCTTACCTTGCCATGCCACGGACATTGTCTCGCCTTTGGTCTTACCTTGCACGGTGCAAGTTGCATCTCGTTTCACATCACGTCTCACGTCTCATTATGTCTCGTTTCGCTTTGTATCTTTTCTTACGTCTGATCTTGCCTCGTTTCTCGCGTTTCATCTCGTCTCGCCTCGTGATTTATTTCTCAATACACACACTACATGAATGAATCACAACTGATAGGCATAGGTGTAATCGTCTAACTTTATTTTTCAGTAACCTCAAAATGGAACCTAGTCTACTTATAATGAAGGGGGGAAAGGGATTGTTAGTTGACAATGGAGTTTGACAGTCTCATTGCTGGCAATATTTTATTAGTTCGACCTCCACGTGGTTCTCCCTGGAAACCATCGTGAATTCTTGTTGAATTCGTCACGATGGGCTAACTGACCTGCTTCATACTCAACTATCATCCTTCACTGGTGCCCCGCCGGTGTATACCGATAGCACGGGTGGGGTTACCATTCCATTATCGCCCATTAAAAAAAAACTTATAATGAAACAAATATTTTTCAGCTCACAAATTCAGGCACATTCGACGTGGATAAAGCAAAGGATTTAGCCAAAGAAGAATTCGCAAATGATGCAACCAAACTAGAGAATGCAAATAAATTGTTCGATGAATGTAAATCAGGTAGTTATGTTTATTCAAGTAAAAGAAAATACCTAAACAGTAAAATATACCAAATAGAAGCTTTGTACAAAGAGGTAGCCAATTTAATTGGCTCTGTCCCATTCATGTTTCATCCGTGAACCTGTTATGTTTGCATGGCTGTGTTTCGATTTGAATGTTGGGATATGACGTGAATTTACAGGGTACAGAGGAATAACACCTGAGTACTTAGGAATGGCAACGCATGGGGGGTATCATGGGCGAAACATTATACTCTGTTATGTCCATGGTACTGCACATGTCTATAGGCGGGCGACGGTTACCACTTTCCATCAGTTGGGCCGTCAGCTTGTTTGCCATTCTAAGTTGTATAAAATATATATATATATATCAAAATATCATATAAGCAAATTATTTGGCCTTCCTAGTAAATTTTCAAGGAAAACCAACTGATCTACTTTTGTCCTTAATGGTATCTCGCCAGCATAGACTTGTTTATTTATTTATTTTATTTAAAAACACACACCATTTAAAAATCAAAACTATACATAGTTAGTTATAGATATAAAAGGCAAAAGACAAAATTAATATCCTAAAACGTGTTAAGGCAACATGAATAAGATGCAATTTAATTAGTGAATACACATACAACTTACAATTTCATTATAATTCGTTATAAAAATATATACATACAATATACAATACATAAAAAACATATTTTATTCCCAGTGAACGACAAACCGGCAGCAGATGGCGCTGCCGGTTGTGACCGCTCATTCCTGATATCACATTGTCTAATTGAGAACTCACCTAAGGTAATTTTTTATCCGCTTATTTTCAATAGTATCTACTTCTCGTATATAATAACTTCAGTAATAAAATGGGATAGCTCCCCCATATGACTAGCTGTATTCCGCAGTTTCGCTCGCGTGAATCGCCATATAAAATCCTATATGTAAAGTTAGAATATAATCTATCCGTGTACCAAATTTCATTCGAATATGACCAGCCATTTAAGCGTAATGAGTAACTAACACAAACAATCAAACCTCTTTGCACTCACATTTTATTAATATAATAAAATCGTATGTAAACGATGTCTGTACATGGGAAGTATTTAAGAAAAAAATATGAGGGGTTTTAATATGAGAATGTATCTGTCCGTATGTTTGTTCCGACATCACGCGCAAACTATCGCATCAAATTAGATAAAGAATGTTCCTGAATGTCTAACCTAAAATCTGGTGTATGTTTCATATTGATATGCCGTCTAAAAGAGGTCCTTATCATTGATTCTCCTACTTCTAAAATCCCACGTGTACGAAGTAATGGGCAAAAGCTAGTTTTTTTTTTTCCTTTCTTATGGCACGGCACAAAGTGCATCCGCCAAAAACAAAGTATGGGAAATAGCATTTTAGGAAAGGAGTTTTGGTCGAAGAAATTTAGGATAAGGATCAGAAAAGTTGAATAATGGATAATATAAGGAAAAGGACAGACAGACTAAATAGAAATTACAATATATTTAACCTTTAAAATATATGAAAAGTACGTAAAATAAGAAAAAAGTTAGTTTATAGATTAGTATAGTTTATAATGTTGGTTTATAGACGTATAAATACTACAAATATTATATATAAGTCTGTAGTACACGTTTCGACCTAGTTCAGACCCCAGACTCAGGGGGGAAAGGGATTGTTAGTAATGGAAACTGAGAATCCCATTGCTAGCAATATACCCAACCAGGTCGACCTACTCGCGGTTCCCCTGGAAACTATCATGGTTAATTCCTGATGAATTCATCATGATGAGTTAACTGGCCTGTTTTCATTCTCATCTATCACCCTTCACTGGTACTCCGCCAGCGTATCCCGTTAACGCAGGCGGGGTTACCATACCATTTGCACCAAATAAAAATCGCCCATAAAAAAAAGACCCCAGACTCATTCCATTTTCCATTTCATTTTCTCCCATTAAAAAAAATAAGGTAAATAATATAATGGAGATGTAATATCTCTAAATAAAATAATAATAGAGGATATTCTATTTGTTGAGAAAGCAATCCACACATTTCTAATATGGCAACTTTATTAGTCTATGTTTGATGTATGTAGAGTGATACTCTCTGGTTACTGTCTGATAATTATAAAAAAAGAAATATGTCGCCTCTAATACATTGTGAAACTTATAAATATCAATAAATATATAAATATGATTAGTGTGTTTAAATATAATAATAAATACTGTACTAAATTACTTCAAAATAATACTATTTTATAGTAATAATAATTGGGAAACGACCAATAGAAAATAAATTACGAATTTTAAGTGTACATAAATTTATCAATTTTATCAACACTGACCTAACGTGGCAATTTGGGGGGAAAAGGATTGTTAGTAATGGGCTCTAATAGCCCCATTGCTAGCAATATACTCTTTCAGGTCAACCTCCACGCGTTTCCCTCTGGAAACCATTATGTTTAATTCTTGTCGAATTCATCATGGTGAGCCAACTGACCTGCATTCATTCTCACCTATCATCTTCCACTGGTACCTCGTTGGTGTATACCGATAGCGCGGGCGGGGTTACCATTCCATTTTCGCCCATTAAAAAAAACATGGCAATTTAGAATGTAATGGCAAATATTCTAATATGAATTATTTATTTTCAGTTCGGATTCGACTTACAACATGTACATTTGTAACCATTAATTAAATGAGCTCCACATAGTAAATTTATTGAATGGAAATAAAATATTTAATAATTAATATGTATTTTATTTGCCGTGTGGTCCCGGCATAGAACGGGCCACCCCTTCCTTTCCCGTGGGTGTCGTAAGTCGCGACTAAGTGAACTAAATGGTCGAACGATGGGAAGCAGCGTCCCTCTTAAAATATGACCTGTAAATCAATGCCTAACTGCGGTTGCCAACTCGCCTGCCAAACGCGGCATCTAGTGGCAGTCCAGTGCGTACTTCGACCAAAATACTTGGTCAATATGTGTCTAATGTTATAATAAGTACCTGGGACATATCAGACAAGAGAATATAAATTTATGGAAGGGAAAAAAGCCTACCAGAGGGAGACTTTGTACGAAAGTCGTTTGCTTGGGTACCTCTGTCCCATTCGTGTTTCTACCATGAAACAGTTGTGTTTGCATAGCTGTTTCGGTTTAAAGGGTGGGATATGGCGTGAATTTACTGGGTGCAGAGTAATATCACCAGAGCCCTCAGAAATGGCAACGCATAGGGGGTAATATGGGCGAAACAGTATACTCTGTTATGCCCATGGCACTGTACATGTCTATAGGCGACGGGTACCACTTTCCATCAGGTGGGCCATCAGCTTGTTTACCATTCTAAGTTGTATAAAAAAATTTTAGCAGCTTAACCAAGCATACTGGAATTAGAAGTTAGAAGTAGTAATATGTCAGAGATTACTCTGGGTACCTTATATTACATATAGTGTACAAAATAACATACAATTATCTTATCAAACATATTTATTTTTATATATACAAATCACTACATTCAAATATGTCTTACTAATAATATAGTATTTTGATTTATAACATTTCGACGTACGATACAAAGCTGAAATAAGTTTAAAAGTACATTTAGTTTATGAAAAAAAAATTAATTATTGTGCTATAGACACATGAGACAGAAAAAAAAAGTTCCGCCCCGTGTAATAATTAAAATATTATAAAATTAAATGTTTGTTTGTTACCTATTAGTATCTTAGCGGCTTAACCAATTATTGTGAAATTTCGTATACGTTGACTATATGGGACGGAAAAGGTTATAGGCTACTCTTTATCCGGGTCAATGAGCATATCTCGATCACACGAAGTCGCGTTTAAAAACTAGTTCATCTACAAATTGAGATCGAATAAAACATTTACAGAAGAAACAATTCCCTGGCGAATTATACATTTAGATAGATAAACAGATAGTAACTGTTTATTGTTTTCTCCAAAGGATTACAGTAGTAAACTTATTATAGATACAAACAATTACAAGAAGTGGTCACAGTGAGAAAACAATGGGCGACCTTATCGCTAAAAGCGATCTCTTCCAGGCAACCTTTGGATGGAGAGGAGTAATTATAAGGAATTATAAACAGTTTGATCGGAGGCACGATGAAAAAATTCTGTCATATATATATATATATATTCTATCACCAAGTAAAAATGTAAACTAATGAAAATCTTCGATATTTTTGTATCGTACGTAAAAATATTTTACAATAATTATAATATTAAAAAAAAACAACCAAATTGTGCAATTTACATCGTGTACTGAACTCGACAAGTGACTAGTGCAAAATGTCAACAAAATATACCTATGAACCGAAATAAATTATTTACGAATCCAATATATTTTTTAAAAAATCTAGTGAAATCTATCAATATTGCACAATAAAAAAATGTTTGGAAATCATATTGAACATTACATATACCTTGCATTGCACAATTATTTGTGCAACTTGTAAAAAAAATATCCATTACGTAATAGTTAATACAAATTATAGATATATGGTACTCGAATAGTTTTAAAATATGAAAAAAAAACAAGCTTACTATCCAAACGCTATATAGGGCTGACAACATTTGTATATCCTATTCATATATTTTCGTTAATAAAAATTATCAATTTATTTATTTTATAATTAGTATTATTACAAAAAAAAAAAAACAATTTAAATAAGTCAGGCCCGGTCTCGGTGTACCTTACCCTTACGTTTTCCAACTTGATAAACATCATCTTATGTCGCATAATGATGTTAAAATATTGGTAAAACTAGAGGGAGATAGATATACCTATATACATTACAATAAAACCTCAAGAGTTAACCTCAAGCCATTAGTATGACAGGGTAAACCTGAAATTTTAAAACAATTCAAAACTAGCTATACAACTCTCGGTAATTGATCCCAGGACCTAACAAACACAAAAGATGTCCAATAAGATGTCCAATTGAATATAAAACACATTAAGTTAAGAATTTCCAACGAAATTTATCACAAACAAATGAAAATTAAGAAAAAAAAATTCTCACCTTAACGTACTATTATTTTTAAATAATTAAAACAAGATAATTATTTTAAAACAAGATAATATATTAACTTAAATATTCTAATTCTCATTACATATACAAGTCATACATTTACAAACCAGAGATTATGAAAATACTACTCGTCTCGATTTAATCTATAAATTAAAATAGATTCACAAAAAAAAAAAAGTGAGCATAGACAATTAGAAAAAATATATTCAGTATATTTATAATCAATTATTATTTTGAAATATACGCCACCGTTTTTTTTTTTCTATTATATTTTTAAGAAAATATTTACCTTGGTCCTGTTTATCCGATAGTGTTAAAGGTAGAAAATTTTCGAATAATTACAGATATGCAAGGATATATTGTTATGTTAGAATAAATGTAGAAAAATAACATTATAAATATTATTTTACATATTATTACAACATTTAACTAGATTAAGTTTTTCGTTAAATGGATATAAATTTAGATATATTAGTTTTAATATTGACTTTAAGCAATAATTGAAACTTGCATAGTGTATAAATAGCATAATTTCGGATAGTGATACTTATTTATATTCCAAAAAAAGCATATATGGTAAAATAATTTAAAATAGACAAGCATTCGAAAAAATTTTTTTACACTTTGTTGGCACACGTGGGAATAAACAGACGGTCTTTTTTAACTCCCATCTCGTATATTAATTAAAAAAAGGCAATGTACCATTCGCACTTGCGCATATATTAAACGTTAGTTTTCGTCAAAATAGATTCTATCAAGTGGCTGTAGTTTGGTTTAATTTTATAGGAAAATTTAAATTTTTTTATATTACATACTCTACATAAGCAAGCTAAAGTGACAATGGGCTGGTCACGTGACTCGAAGAACCGACAACCGATGGGGTAGAAAGGTTCTTGAGTGGCGATACCGTACTGGCAAACACAGTGTAGTACGACCCTCTATATGTAGCGACGACCTCGAATGCACTGCAAGGGAGACTTGCGTCAGCAGGGAACAGTTTACTGATGATATCATGATGATGATACATACATGATAAAATATCACTTAATAAATGTAATCTATCACCTTAAAAAGCGACATCAAGATAATAACACGAGGATTTTTTTTTCATTTTAACCCTTACTATGAGATTTTTAGTGCAGTTTGGATCACGGGCGTAGTTCGCCCAATTGCGATTCGCCTATGGGCCTTTTGAAGTAACAAACTAAATAACTCACAATTTTTTTTAAACTAGGACTATTCGGTTCGAAATTTAAACAGCATCAGTGCTTTTTCAATAACGTGATTTAATTTGTCATTTTATTATCAAAAATAGACCTGTGTCCAATAAGCCCAATACAAAAAAAAAAACATGAGCAAATCACAGTGATTCGAAATTCAAATTTTTTTATACCACAAAGGTTTGCTATCTTTTTTAGTTTGACACACATAATATGAAACGCCCAAATAAGCAGTACAAGTACATATACATATCACAATTACAATATACCATAGCGCTTGTTAGTAACTAGAGACTAGGGTTACCAACAACAAACAATTTTAGATCGACGAAACAGTGGCGACAGACAGATCGGTCGCATGGCACACTTTTTTATGTCACTTAATGGTAAACAAGCTGACAATCCACAGGATGGAAAGTGGTAACCGTCACTTATGATACGTAGACATGGAAACACTATGGACTTCATAAAATATACTGTTAAGCCCAAAATACCCTTCAAGCGTTTACTTCCAACTGTCTTTACGCCGACGTTCCGTCATTCTACACTGACCCTTACAATCAGTCAATACAGGTCAGTACTATAAAACGACCACAGATATAGTGCTGGTAGTGCTATCATACAGTTCGTATTAATACAAAACGATTATCCATATAATAACGCTAAAGTCTTGTTTACTAGGCCCTAAGTATTTAGTAATTTATATTAATTAAATACAACATAGAATATACAAATAGATGATACTATTAACGGCATTACGTTATAATCTGTTTCAATAGAATTTAATAAAAATGTTAACAAAAAAATAAGTGACTGGACCATAATACAGTCTGCTGATGTCTTATGATCCGGTCAAAATGGATCAAATATTTCGAAGCGTTACTAATTTCATTTATAATATTTCTATGATAATTTCAACTAATTAGCATATTTATTCTATTGAAACAGTCTATAAATTGTCCTACTGAATTGGTAGGATGTGAGGTTTGAAATGGTTAGGTAATATTGGGACACAGTATATTGAGTCCACTATTCTAGAGGGCTACCGCCATATTCAACGTATCTTCGGTCGCCGATCATCAGCGATACATCAAATTGCATACTATTTACTACTCTCGGTTACACTACGCAAAAGCCCGGTCATTACATCGACATAACACCGCGGAACGCTCGCGCCCAGCATCTGGTCAATCGTCGATCTTCTATCGGCGGAAGATCGGCAACACATTGCATACTTTTTCTGTGACGCGTTAAACTCGGCGGATGTTTCGCGTTCACTACTCGCGTTAGTAGGTATTCATGCAACCGAAGTTAAGTTGAATGTGACTAACTCGATCATCGATCTTCGGTCGCGTATTTTATTGAATTGGACGTGAATATGGCGCTAGCCTATGGTTTACAACAGCGCAAAGTTTGGAGAAGCAATTAAGGACTTCGCAAAACGAGAGACAGTACTTGAAGTACTTTTTCTTTATCAAAATATAACTTAGAATTGCATTGCATTAATAAAAGAGTAATACCTTTCAATAGTAAAAAAAAGCACAAAAAGTTTTCCAAGAACTGTCGCACGTCTGCGCAAACCCTAAAGTAGTACAAATATCCTATTTAATTAAAAATGTAACATTATTTCAATGAGTTATAATTAATTTTCCTTTAAAAGCGACATCTGTAGACGTATAATAAAATAAAAATTAACTTGACCAAGAAACAATAAATGTAAATCGTATGTCTCCTGTAATACGGTTGATATTTCTGAGCAACGTTCACAATCTCTTCTCGTATATTAACCCTCTTATTCACCATTCATAGAAATTAAAAGTTCAAAACTACTCTGACTGTTGGAGTGTTTTATTTTTCAAATTAAGAAAATAGTGCGTAAGAAAAAAGACAAAACACTTCAATTGCTAAAATAGATCTATGTTTAATTTAAATAGAAATAAGGTTCAATTTTAATGCCAGAAGACACCAAAAATAGAATGAGGTACAATACAAATGGTAGACCAATTCTTAATAATATCTGTCAGTCTACATTTTAAAAAACAGAAATGTAATCTTTTGCCATACTGAAACAAACAGTGGTCCAACTGGCATGTTCCAAATGGTTATACGACCATTCTGGACACAGTGCTGTCTAGACAGAAACGTTGGACGTCTGGTAAATGTTTTTGGACTGTGTTATTATGCAGTAAAGTACTAAATACTAGCTCATTTATTTTACTCGAGTAATACGAGCTGACCTTCGGAGAGGCTGTCCTCCCTTTGATGTTATATGCTGTCGTAACTGTTGGGGTCCGGAGAACTCGTGGCGCCCACGCGTGGTGGCAACTTGAAACCATTAATGGCAAACGCCCAGCCGTCCTGTAAACAAATATATACTTATATAGTAATCTAAATACTTAATAATAATAATTAATATGCTTTCTAACTGTATTGTGTTGACTGGAAGAGATCTCTGTCAGAGATAAGACCACACTTGCTTACAATATTTATAAATGAATTAACAATGTACTTTACAAGTAATAATACATACATATATATATATATATATATATATATATATATATATATATATATATATATATATATATATATATATATATATATTTCTTCCAAACTGCACAACTAATTGTTTTAATTGATTTATTGGAGTGATAAAGAGAGAGAGAGTGATTTTTTAACTTGTTACTGCCATATACTAGCTTTTTACCGACGCGTGGCCCCGTCATAGAATGGGCCACCCCTTCCTTTCCCGTGAGTGTCGTAAGAGATAACTAACGGAACTTAATTGTGGAGGGATAGGCAGCGGTGTTCCTCTTAAAACATCATCAAAGCCTAACTGCGGTCTTCTTCTTTTCATTTAAGAGTTTCCTCTTGTCGGTGCAACTAATTCATGCATCTTATTCCAGCCAACTCTATCCCAGGCCTTATCCTTGACCTCCCTATACGACATGACACCTAGTGTTTCCTTTATCTGTCCCATGTAGTTATTCCTCGGTCTTTCTCTTCCTCTTCCTCCTCCTCTAACTGCGGTAGCTAACCCATTTTGCCAGTAGTTGCCACGCTTAGAAGGCGGGTTGGCAACGGCAGTTAGGCTTTGGCATAATCTCGAACACAGCAACTGATTTTTATAATACATACCCTCACTAAGTTAGGCAGGTCCGTCCAGAACGCTAAATTAGGTATGACTTCTATTCCAGTCGCACCCATTAGGAACTTCTTAGTGCAAACACCAAGAACGAGATAGAATATCACTATAGAGAAGAACACAACGAGCAAGGTCGATCCTGTAGATCTACCTATTTCTTCTATTTGCCTCAAACATGCGTCTTTCGAGTAGAACGCCAATACCTGAAATATAAACGGTATAGTTTGAGTATTTCATTAATATTGTAATTAATAATAATAATAAGAAATTTATTCCTTTATACAAAGGTAGTTATTTAAATTACAGGGTATCTCCTGTTAAGCAAAGATTGCTTGTGTTAGGAGAAACCGCTCTTTCGTAACAATAATTAAGTTTCATAATCATTACAATTTACTTTTTTTTTTAATCAGCATTAAAATTAATAAAGATAGATAGATAGATAGATAGATATATCGTTTATTTGTTTGTTACTAATCACACACAACATGTAAATAAGAATTGGTAATACATAAAACAACATAAGATTTATAAAATTGTGTTATTATGTGTAATCTGCAGCAATACAAAAAGGTCGAAGCTCAGCGTGTAACATTGTTCAAGGAACAAAACACTGATTTTCAGCTTTAACCCATTTGAGGGTACGTGAAAATAATAATTAAAATAAATATAAAACAAAAAGAACCATATTTTTGGTGACTGTGCAGTGTGTGTATAATAAAAATAATGTAAATAATTCAGAGTACAATTTGATATAATTTCAACTGAGTGCTAAGGATAAAGCGAAAAAAAAAAAAGAAAATATTAATACAAGAAACATGGAAAAAAAAAATATTAAAAATCATTACACGAGATTGCAACGCAATAAAGTAATTGTAAAGATTCAATATAGATAAAACCAATAGAGTTACTCGATTTATATGTAGAAGCGTAAGAACAAACAAAAATAGTATACACATTAATAGCACTCTTCCTCTCACTTTAAACATACACACACTCACACTGTTCACCTTCTCACACACCACACACTGAACGTTACAGATTTAAAAATTTAATTAACTATAATCTTCTAGTTAAACAATATTTTTTTTTCTTTTCTTATTTATCATCATGTTTATTATGTTTGTAGCTTAATATTGTTAGTTCTGCATCTACAAATACAAAGTATTAGTTCTTGTGTGTTGGAAGGAATTGGCTTACAAGGCACAGGTTACCCTAATTTGTAAGCTAGGGCAAAAAACTTGTAACTATGCAACCCTGTATTTGTTAATAATTTTTATTATTATTATTTCCAAATCTATATTACTGTTTGGACCATTTTTTACTTATCTTAGAATGGCAACAAGTTAACAGCCTGCCTGAAATAAAATGGTCACCGTCGCCTATGAACATTATATCAACAGTAACATGTACGTAACAAAATAAATACTCAAATTGCGTTACTGGAAGCACGATATCCTGTAATTTCACTGCCATTTCCTAGCCTTCAAACCGAAACACGCATGGCTGTGTTTCAGTAGTCATGGCAGAATCTCGAATAGTACATGTTTTTTTTTTTATATACAACTTAGAATGGCAAACAAGCTGACGGTCCACCATCTGACATAACAGCAGTACCATGGACATAACAGAGTTACTGTTACGCCCGTGATACCCCCCATGCGTTACCATTCCTGAGGACTCAGGTGTTATTCCTCTGTACCCAGTAAATTCACGCCATATCCCACCCTTCAAACCGAAACACAACCATGCAAACACAGCTGCTTCACGGTTGAAACACGAATGGGACAGAGGTATCCAAGCAATCGACTTTTGTACAGTCTCCCTCTGATAAATTTGATCAAGAAATGAGTAATTCAGTTCATCATCGCCTTCATATCCTTATTTCAATTATTTGGGGTTGGCATAGCATGATAATATTACA